ATTCTGCTACTTCTAATACTGCTTTTGTTTCTCTTCTTTATTTTCCTTGTCAAACTCCTGTTGTGGGCTCCCACCATATTGGATGCATGCCTCTCTCAGAGTTCTTATCATTTATTTGAGAATAATATGGTCAGTGTTCTCAACTGGACCGAGCTTCTCAAGGATAGGGACCTGCTCTTATTCATCTTTATGTCTCCAAGCCCTAGCTCAGTGCTTGGCACTGTGCAGATGCTTAATGTCTGTGAAAAGAGTTGGCCATGTAAATATAGAGTAGAAAACATAAAAGGATTCAAAGGTTCCTAACTGGCAGGCAAAACTTGAAGAACAAATGAAAAGGCGCAGCTTTGAAGCTGTTGCTGAGAGAGAAAATTCTGAGCCCAGCTTTGAACTTATTGGATTGATGAGCTGACAAAAAGTGGAGATGTCCATTAGGGAGCTGGAAAGGAATGCTAGGACAAAGGTTCTTTCAGGACTAAGACACAGACTTGCAAATCTTTCTGGTAGAAGTGCTAACTGAAGTGATGAGAGCTCACCAAGGAAAACAGAATGCAGAGAAAAGAAAAAAGAAAGAAAAGACAGCTTCTTGGAAGATATCTATAGTTAATGGGAGGAAAAAGAAATTCAGAAGGATCTCTGCAGCAACACTGAAGTCAAAGGAACCTCTCCTGTTTGTGTCCTTGAGTAGGTGTCTGTGATAACTGCTTTGTAACACAGCACAGATTATAAATAAAAGTCTGTGGGCAGCAATAGAAAAACAACACATACGTTTTCAGTGCTACTGGGTCTGTCTGGCCCTGCCCACCAGTGGTTTTGGGATCTTCTTAGTTCAGACTAAAGAACACCCACATGAAATTTCCTCTGGATGGCAACAGCCAGCACAACATGTCTTCCACCTCTTCACACTGACTGCTCTTCGCCTCCTCTCTCCTCCAAACATAGGCTGGGAGATTACACCCCCTTTGTGTCAAAACAGTACATGTGAAATCAGCTTATGGCACCCACATTCTTTTATTTGCCCATAGTCTTCAAGATTCTGTAAGGTGAATTTGGTTTTTGCAATTCTTACCCTGTATTATTATTGTTTGCTTATCAACACCTCAAAATTTCTCTTCTAGTTGTTTTTGTTTTGTTGGATAAACCAGTGTTTCTCAATTAGTGAACCACAGACTTCCTTGGAGGTAAAAGTAGGGGACCATTCTTGAAATTCATTGAACCTCTTTGGTGATTCTTTCCTAGTCTAAGCCTTAGGCCCACAACACTAGCCTATAGGAATTGGTTAGCTGCATAAAGTAGCAGAGAGCACTAGATTACTGGCTTTTGATATAGAAGAATATAAAAGATATTCCTGTGCCTCTGAATCACATACAATGTTATAAGCCAATGTTACTGCAATGGCATTTTTACTTTAGTAATCATACCATTAACGTTCTGTATGACCATTATTTTTACCTTTCTGTGAATAAAACATACTAATGATGATCTTCCTCAAACTATTACTCTATTTGTTTAAAAAATGAACATAGCATTCATACATAACTATGAAAAGACATACTTACATAGATTATTTAAAGAATCATTATAATACAAATTCCCAGGTCCAAAAATAGAACATGATCAGTATGCTCTACCTACCCTTTCTAATAATATCCTATTTCTCTTTTCTTAATAATTTTATTATTCATGTATGTAGCCTAAACAGATCAGCTGAATTTTGCAAGATTTTGAATATAAATGGAAATGCATGGTATCTATTCTTTTACTCAATATTGAAAATCAGCATGTTATTGTAATGTATAGTGGCTACACTTAGCTCCTTTTTATTGCTGTATCATACTTCACAGTACGCCAATACATAATTTACACATTCTATTTTGATATGTTTCAATTGTATGCTGTTTTAGCTGTTACAAAAATGTACAAGAATCTGTAGAATAGAATTGCTGAGTCAAGGTGAATGTGTATCTTCAACTTTACTGGAAATGCAACACTATATCCAAAGCAATCATACTATCAGTATAAGGATTCTCCTTACTTCATCTGTGTTACTATCAGACTTTTTAGTAATTCTTTGGACTGATGGGTGTCTAAAGTATTGCACTGAGCTTTTCATATTTCTGTGTTTACTAAAAAGGATATGCATATTTTCTTATATTGGTCACATGTATTTCCTCTTTGGTGCATGTCTATCTTCAAAACTAGATTGTCTATTTCTTATGGATGGGTAAGTGTTCTTTCTATATTCTGAGTAACAATTCTTTGTTACCTGTTTCAAAAATTTCTTTCCCCACATTGTGATTTTATCTTTTCCACTCATGCTAGGGGGTAAAGAGGTAAAGAAAAATCCTGGTTTTATTGTAGTTGAATTTATTGGTCTTTCCCCCTATGACTAAAAAAGATTCTTCTCAACTCCAAAGCCATAAAAATATTTTTCCATACAGATCCATATAATTAGCTGAAATCTTTGGATTTAGATGTGCTTTGGAACACGCACATTTTTTGAATATCAGAAAAGCACTATGGAACATATATTATGTACTACTGTAAGAACTGGGATAGCACCAGTAATCACACACTGATATTTCTAGAGAAAAACAATCACCTAAGTGATCTACAAAGGATTATTGTGTCACTAAGTCACTTTTTCACCAAATGAGTTCTAAGGAGCTTGATATTTCAGAGATTTAAGGATTTTTCAATTAGTGCAAAAGTTATGGCTTCATACAATAAAAATGGGATTATTTCAAAGCTTGGATAAACTTGTTGGTGGAAGAAATAGGCTGGAATATGCGTGTGACGATTCTTTACTATGCATTCAAAATAATGGTTTAGGCTTATTCGTATTTTCTACTGTTGACTCAGCTAATTGTGATTTTCTCACAATGTGTATATTCATCAAAATTGTATTTGCGGGGCCTCCCCTGGTGGCGCAGCAGTTGAGCACTGGGCTGCGAAGCTGCCCTCAGCCTCTGCAGTGCCAGTTGGATCCCCGGCCACCGGCGAGGGTCCCACTTGGCTCTACAGACCTCTCCTGCCACGCCCACTGCTCCCCTCAGCAGTGTATTTCATCAGTCTGCCTGTTCTGCTCCCTGCTCTGGCTCTGGTGAATTCTCTCACCCTCCCGCACTTCTGACTGTATCCAGTGCTTATATAAATAAATAATCTTTTAAAAAAATTGTATTTGCATTAAATTGTTTTGTTTAACAGATGTTTTAACCTTTTTGATGTCTATAGTGTTCATTAGTAAATGTTTATTAACATCTCTGCTTTTTTGCTCAATACTATCAGATACTCATCAATTTTATTGATGAGTCTTTTCCGCAAAAGTTAACTTTTGGATATTAGGAATCTAATAAATGCAATGTTATATCACTGAATTGGCTCGAACACTAGCTTGTTTCCAGATTTCCATAGTGGATTGCTTTCACTGTGGACAATTATGAGCTACTAATTTGATGTTACTGACCATGAAGCTAGGAAGAGGTGAATATAACTGGTTCTCTTAAAATGGTTCTCAAACTAGTTCTCTTAAACTAGTTTGTTTCTCTTTGATTCATTTCAGTCCTTAACATTATTCCCCTCTTTTTACATTAATTTTCTTTTCTTTCTTGATTTATTGCAAAGGGGTATCTAGCTAAAGCCCCTTAAGACTCTTTTTCTAACATACTTAAGTAAGGTTATAAATTTCCCTCTAGGTACTGCATTAGATCAAGTCCACAAGGGTTGCTATTACATTGGCTCTGCTCAAAATATTTTCTCATCATGACTTTTTTAAAGATTTATTATTTTTATTTATTTATGCATACAAGAACTGGGGTGTAGGCCGGAGGTACAGCAGGTGATTCACCAGAGACAGAGTGGGGAGCAGCACAGCCAGATCATCATGATTTTTTCTTTGGCCACAAGTTATATGGACTAGTTTTGATAGTTATTTAATGATTTTTAGTTAGTTGTATTGTAGTTTAAAAAATGTGAATGATGTCAGTCTTTAAAATCTGTTGAGAGCTGCTTTATAGCTATATGCTGAATTTTGGTAATATATTTGATCTCATAGAAATGTACATTATGATTTTGGTTGTGTTGTTCTACATATGTTGAGTCAAATTTGTAAATCACATTACTCAAATTTTTTACATCCTTTTTAACTTTTCTTTTGCTTCTCTTAATCACTGCTGAAACTTTGTTAAAATCATCCAACATGACCATTTTTTTGATAAGTCAATTTTCACTTTGTATTATATATATATTTGTATCTTACATATATTTACCATTAAGTAAACAAAAATATATTTACCATTAAGTAAATATATGTAACTACCATTAAGTACATGTAAACTTAAGTTAAAAATATACTTAAGTATATTTCTTTTTTCAACTCAGATGTCATCTAAGACTCTTGACTATACTTAAAAGATAATATTTTTAAAAAGATATAAACTTCCCTTGACATATATAGATACAAAGAAATGGGTGACTCTGGTAAAACTAAAGTAACCCACTATAAGTAATTCTTACCGAAATACTTCCCATATTGTAGAACATATGTTTGGTGGTACTGAGTTTCACATAACCACCCTGAGAATGTGTATATTAAAATTGGAAAGGATCAAACACTAGCTGAATACAGAACTGTGAATTGCTTATGAGTTTTATAAGCACTTAGAACTTCAAAAGAACTTGATGATGGAGCAGATGGAATCTGTTAAGAGAACCAGATGCCACAAGACTAATTGACCTTTATTAGAAACGTGCTTTTAAATAAAAATTCTGAGATAGAACTCATTTGTATATTAAAATTTGAATTCTTTCAAAGTACACGGAGCAGCTCTTTTTCGTCCCTTTTAAAAATACCTTGGTGTTTGGGCAGTAAAAAAGCACAAATAAGATTAAATCAATAATGCAAATATTAATTTTCCTCACTCTCCTACCAATTCATACTAGGTCCTGCAAATTTCAGCTCCAAGACCACAGATTCTAGCTGTAAACTCTATAATGAGGCTCACCTTTTCATTCCACAAACAATGACATCGCAGCAGAACGAAACTGAGTTCAAATACTCTTTGACTAGGTGTCTCCAAAATCCAACTAAAAAGATCTTTTCCATCCAAAAAGAAAAGCTCTAGCGATCAAGGTGAGGTGATGGTGCAAAAAGTACCAAGATTAAGGCTCAAGGAGGGGCCTGGGAGATGGGCCTCTTGGGTTCTCATTGAGTCATTCATTTGTCCTGTCACCCGCCTCTCTTTGGGGCGTTTCATTCATTCTTTTTTTCTTTTCCCTATTAATTTCGGAAGCGAGGAGTTAAGCCCACAAGGCTCTCTGAAGCTTCGTCCAACTATCATGCCACAGGTGGGAAACTGCAACACAAAGCCGCTTTGTCGGCAAATAACCTTTCTGGAAAGATCGCTGGGCAACAGCTACCTATGGAAACCTAGATTCACGTAAGGGGCACAGCTCGTCAGAATTGTGAACAACAGCGGGAAGAGAGGTACGAAGCCACTCAGGAGACCAATTGCGCTCTGAGAACCGGCCAGAAACCACTCACGCCCCACGTGACTGCCACAGGCCCCGCCCCCTCGCGGCACAGACCCGGAAGTCACCCCACAGGTAGGCGAGCGGGACCGGAAGTCCCGCCCCCTCGCGCTGCAAACGGTAACTCGCAAGGGTCAGTCCAAAGCCGGCGAATTCTCCGCGAGAATTGTTTCCGGGGGGGTCCTGGGGTTTGCGCCGCAAGGCCGCGAGCGAGCAGGCGACCCTGCGGCGCCAGTGTCAGCCCGGCGTCCTGCCTTCCTAATTTAGGGCTGCTTGACCTTTTCCTTCCGTCGGTCCCTGGGGGAACCCGGCTCTGGGCTGGCGGCGAGTTGGGCTTGCTGGTGGGTCCAAAGGGGCGCGCGTGGAGTATGGACGCGGGAGGTCGCTGACTCCTTTAGCCCCGCGTTTCTCTTCTGCAAAACTGGGTTTCATTCCTTGCTCTGCTAGGTAATTTTACACCCCCGCCCCCCTCCATGCAGTTGTTTGTACAGTATGATGGGTCCAACAGCAACCCCTGGGAATAGGGCAGTATGCCCCAACCTCCTTACCCGCGGGGAAAGCGCAGAGAATAAATGAAATTCTCCAGGGGACAGGCTGTGTGAGAGAGCCGGGAGTCTAACTCGGGCGCTCTGTGACCAGATTGCTAATCCAGGGTTGAATTAAGGTACATGAGATACACTTCAAAAGCTAGTGTTCTTGTGAATTTAGAATTGATTACTTTAAGCTCAAATTAAAATCTCGAGGCTAAAGTTTAAGAAGAGGAATGTTAGGAAGAAGAACAGTGTTTTTTGCCTTGCCTTGCCGTCTCTCAGATTACAGGTTCCTTGTTAATGTCAAATGTCACCTTGGCCCACAGATTGAGCCCACTAGCCATGGCAGCCCCATCTATGAAAGAAAGGGAGGTTTGCTGGGGAGCCCGGGATGAGTACTGGAAGTGTTTAGATGAGAACAGAGAGGACTCTTCTCAATGCAAGAAGTTAAGAAGCTCGTTTGAGTCAAGTTGTCCTCAGCAGTGGGTAAGTCACATTTGGATGTGTTTCTGTTCACTGTTAAAATACGGAGCGCTTACAGCCTGAGTAAATAAAGCTAGGAAATAAAGCACCGCTTGAGGCATGTCAAATCAAGTTTCTGTGAGCAACAAAGAAAACCTTGCCTGTTGCTTGTTTTATGTACTTGTATCCAGAGTTCAGAAATATTTGCTCTGTATTGGTCGGGAAAGGGCAGAACAATTCTAAGTCAGGTCCTGCTGGGCTGGTTGGTGTGAGACTGGAACCTGGATTTATCTGCGCTTTATCATGTATCAGGCTGCTCTTAGTATGGCAAGTAGTTTGAGAACAGATACTTTTACAAATGAAGTGGGCTGGGCTTTCATCTTCATCACTCATGCTCCCACTCCCATAGCCCCATAACTACTCATAACTACTACTCCTACTTCTACTCATAACTCTTACACCTCAGATTTCTAAATCTGAGGCTTACATGAAACCACAATAAGGATGTGATAGAGGGTGGGGCTCCTGTTAGAGGGGGTAATGAGCTGGAAACGAATGCTGGGAATAGAAATACCTTTAGATTTTGAACTCCTCTTTTGGAAAACCAGCCACCCACCTATCTCCTATCTCAGCCATAAAGGTCTAATGTCTGACTTCACATATAATTTGAAAACTGATAAATGTGGGATCTTATGATTGGATTAATGATTTAAGCAAAAACATTTATACATCTTTCCCATTAGATAGATGCATTGAAAGTAACTCTTAGTTTAAGAAGTAGGTGGAAAATGTGGGAGATTGTGCTGACATCAAACATAATTCCTTTAAGATCGTGATACCACTACTGCTGTGTTGCCTGTGTTTTCCCCTCCTTGACCTTCTAATTCTGCTCTCTGGCGCCTTGGTCAGTGAGAGCAGTGTGGGACTAAGAGCAGGGAAGAGCTTGGGGCTATGTGAGTGATGAAGATGAAAGGCCAGCCTTTGAGGTTAGATATGACCAGTGTCTTGGCAGTTTCCAGCCCCCTCCTACCAACCCCCTCCCACCAGCCCCCTCCCACCAACCCCACACACATTTTTTTTTTTCAAGGAGAATCTTGTCACTATTAGACCTGTCTTTTGACAACCTAACCATGATTTTCCACCTGGACTGCAAGTCAGAATCCTGTGATTTTTTTTTTTTTTTTTTAATAGCTATGTCCCAGACCGCACCTCAGATCTATTAATTTTCTGGAAATAGAACCCAAGCTTCTTTTGAAAGGGCTGTGGCTCTACAGGTGATTCTGGTGTGTAACCATGGTTAGGGATTACTGTCTTAACCCCTCTGGTAAGTCACACTTAGTTCTCTTTCTATCCTCTCGCAACTCTCTAAAACCGCTGCTTTTTCTCCAACCAGCAGCTAATACACTGGTCCCACTCCCCTACTTTCAGGGTAACTTCCATTCTCTGCATCATAAAATGGTGTTTTACAGCTAGTCAGTTGCTTCTTTCTTCTATGTCTCTTCTATTCATCCACAGGCTGAGTGCCATGTCACAGGTCTACCCTTGCCAGGTCATTGTGTCTCAGTCACAGCTACCAGGTATATGCTCTAAGCACTCCAAAGGTGTCATCTCTCTCATTCTCACAATAACTCTAAATACCCAATTTTACAGATGAGGACACAGATACATTAAGATGAAGTCACTTTTAAGTGCAGAACCTGGATTTGAGCTGGGTAGTCTGAGTGCAGACCCCATGCCCTTCCCTACTCCACACACTTCTTCCTGTGCCTGTCATGCAAGAGAAGGATACATGATAATACCTTGTACAAGTCTCATGTTGTTCTAGAAACTTAGTCATAATTCAAGTGTATATAAATACAAAAACCTTTTCTCATTTGGGCTTTTACAATCCACTTTCCCATTACATTCCTTTTTCCCCTTCATTTCTAGCAGCCACTGCTGCTTGGAGTGCTTTCCTATGTGTTAAATGCCAGTACTCTGTAGAGTCCCCTTTGCTGCTACAAACTCTCCCAGTGCAGTCTTGTCTACAGCCATGGTTTCAAGCACTACTTATGTGCTAATGCGCAAACTGTCACTTTCAGCCTGGCCCTTTTCTCCAACCTCAGAAGAAGTGCCTGTTGAACTTTCTGTAGCTTTTAGTCTGAGTGATAAGAGGAAGCCATTGGAGTGCTTTGAGTTTGGTACTAAGGAGACAACTGAGGATGTAAGAGGGATGACTGTCAATTGAAAGGAAGTGACATCAGTGAGTTGTTGACACCAATGCAGGGCCCTAGAGGGACAGTGAACAGGTTGTGGGTAGAGGATGGGATGCTTGGACTTGGGGTTATGGTACAGCTGTGGTTGTTCGCCAGGGAAAAGTCTAGTCTTTGATCCTCAGAGTAAGGTAAATTGAAGGGCAAGATCATTCAAAGGTCAAAGAACTGAGGGGCCAGAGTATTAGGATAGTGAAATCACCCAGGAATTAGGTAATCATGAATACTGTTGAAGAAAATGACAGTGACCTGTAAAGTTATGGATGATTCCAACAAAGGAAAGTGAGTACTGCACTGTCATATCCTAATTGGCATCTGCCACATTTGACAAGGATAATTGCTTTCCCATTTAAAACTGTTTTCTTCTATAGCACTACACTTTCTTCTTCCATAACCGAATTTTCTCAGTCCACTCCCTCAGTCCTTTGCTCCTTTTTTTCCTGTGTGTTCTACTCAAGTATTACCTTGTTGTTGTCTTATCCAGTAATCATAGAATAAAAACAGAAAATTTTTTCCAGAAAAATGTGTGAGAGGTAAGTGGGAGGGGAAAGAAATGGGAGGAAATTTGAGTGCATTCTGTGTAAGACTTTTGTTCTCATTAACTTTCATTTTCATTCAGTCTTGTGAAACCATTATATCTGTTTTATACAATAGGAACTAAATCTCAGGAAGGTGAAGTACATTGTTCAAGAACATCTAACCAGTGAAGTAGTAGAGGGGGATTCAAATGTAGGCCTCTATGATTTCAAAGTTAGTCTTTTTTACTCAGCTGAAACCACAGCCAAAGAATAAAGATAAAAATAAAACCACCAAATAGAGGGCTATAATACAAATAGAGAGCTAAAAATACAAATTCGTTGCATAGTAAATATGCCACTCATCAGTCTAACCTGGATAAAGATCCTATTTCAAGTTTCCTATTCCTTCATCACTTAAGCAGCAGCAGGGTCTATCATCTAGCATCATTAAGCAGCAGCAGGTCTATCATTCTAGCATCATCCCAGTCTTTCCCAAGTAGAACAGCCATAAATCTGAGATAAGATACTAATATCAGTTTCAGATACTGTGTTTTCCTTATGCATCTTTGAAATGTCTTAAAAATTCCAATATTTTGACATTCACCCTATCACTCTTTGTCTCATTTAATAGTTTAGGGGATACCTGAATCATATATACAGTGTTTCTCAATATATGCTTGATCCATTAGCCTTTTAGCGAAAGTGCCACGTATTGGGGGTCTTTAACTGTTAATTGAATGAGGAGGTGAATATTGGAGAGGAGAGCTTTTCAGGCAAAGTGTGGTGTATGTGCAAAGGCAATGGAAGCAAGATGCACAAGGAATCAGCACACTCAGGAAATTAGGACCTTTGCATGGCTAACATTTCAGGAACAAGTAGTAAATTCAGAGAGGATGAACAGAGAGGCAGAGATAAAGTGAAAGCCCTTGTTTGTCTTACTGAGAAGTTTGAATGTTGGCCTTGAAGCCAACAGGAGTATGGTGAAGGATCTTTAAATAAGTAGGTGACATCACATTTAGGTTTTAAAAAGATTATATTTGGCAGTAGTGACACATGATTTAAGGAAGGTAGAGAAATCAGTTTAAGGGTCATTAAAACAATCCCAATGAGAAATGGTTAGGTCTGCACTGTGTGACCAAGATGGGGGAGCAGATCACACATCTGAATGAATAATGATGCAGTCGTTGAATAGGTACTGAAAGAAGAGAAACACCTTTGGAGAGGCGCAAAGTCCCACACAGACTAGGGATGAAATGTCAGCAGGACCACTAAATGGAACTGCACATTAGGCAGTTCCAGACATGACTGGACATAAAGAAGTCTTAATTTGCCACAGAAATGTTAAGGATATTATCCACTTCCTCATGTGGCATACTTTTTATATTATACCTGTCCTGGCACAGTCGTCCCAAGGGCGCCAGAGCTAAATCTGACCTCCAGATTTAAAAGCTGTAACAGAGACCAACCACCAGAACTATGGGCATCTCACCAACCAAAGGAAAAGAATTATCAGAGGATTTGTGGGCAAGAGTAGAATTTAGGTAAAACTGAAATGAAGCAGTGCTTTGATATGCTCAAAAAAAAAGCAGCATTGTGTATAAATAGGTCATCAGCTCTGGACTAAGGAGTGGACAAAGAGTCCTATTTTCTTTATAGATAAATGCTGAGTATCATGTTCAGAAATCTCTTATTTGAAGTCTGCACCTGGGATGGAAATCAAGGGTGCTCTCTGTAAGACTTTCTCAGATTCTCCAGGCAGACATGGGGTGTTTCATTTTTACCTGTGGAACTTCAAAGATGTTTCTGGTGGCCTATGATTTTAGAGCACTTGGTGTTTTGGTAAATAAGAAAGCAGTCGTCACTCAAGGGGTGGATTAGAATATTCCATGGCTGTAGGGCAGTGTCCTCCCACTAAATGTTCACTTGGGGGCTGACTCTCTCATCCACAACTAGAAAGGGGGCAGGGTAGAGTTCTACATTTTCATTTCAGAGTCTAAACTAATTTACATTTACTCAGGCTCCACTGAAATATTTAAGAATTAAATCCCTAAGAAAAACTTTTAACTAAATGCCCAGTGTTTTCTAACATGGTATTCTGCCTTTGCCTTGTCTGCAGGGCAGCTCAGATGTAGACATGAGGACAGTTTTGTGGTCAGCCTTGCTTTTCTCCTTCTGTGACTTTACAGTTTCAGGATATGGGGCTTTAGGATATTTCAAATCACCTATGGCAAGAGAAGGATATAAAAATTAAAATGAAGTCCCTTATTGAATTTTAAATTTAATTTTTAAATTTAATTTTAAATAAATTAAAATTTATTGAATTTTACCATCAGTGTATACTTTTTTGCTATGTGTTTATTGCCTTAAATGTATGTTTCTGGATGAGATAAAGTTGATATAAAAATTATGGCTTATGAGTGAGCAAAATTTATTGAACTTATAGTTGATAACAAAAACTTATATCTTTAAACCATGAAGTCAGATGACCTGAGATCTCTGTCATCTCTGAACTAACTGAACTAACAACTCTCTGAACTAACACAACACGTTTCATATGTCCAAATACATGTATATTTCTTGAGGACAAGGTTTGTGGGTTATTCAGATTCTCAATAGGGTCTGAAATCCAAAACAGGTTAGCACTCAGTGGTTTACATCCTTGAGAGAGTTCTGTACATCTAGTGAACTGATTCAAAATGCTTCTAGAATACAATTGATATTCTCATACTTAATGCCACTTACATAATTTATATTGAATAATCTGCTATATTTGAATCTGTGCTTTTGTTTGTCTAAGCTATATAACTTACTCTTATTTCAAAACCCTTTTTCTCAACAGATAAAATACTTTGATAAAAGAAGAGACTACTTAAAATTCAAAGAAAAATTTGAAGCAGGACAATTCCAACCTTCAAAAACAACTGCAAAATCCTAGGATATTCCTGTTTTTCAGAAAAGTTGAAGCTATTATTTCTGGACATTCAAAAATCTCCACTGACTTCAGGACAAGAGTACTGATGGTAAACATCAGTACTTTTTCCATATAAACAACACTTAAATAAAAATGATGAAGTAACAAAAAAGTCCATCATTCAAACTATGAAGAATTAAAATAAAGTAATATGAAATACTTAGTTGTAATTTAGTAAGAAGTCTGTATTTTAAGAAAATTAAAGCCCATTATTAAAAAAACACAAGCACTCCCTTTTTTTTGGTTTGGAAGGATGGGTAGTAGGCAGATATTATACATACAGATATTGAAAAGGTAAATCACCTCAGAGATAGTATTTTTAATGCAGATACAAAAAAAATAAGGACTGGAACAGGATTAATCTTAAAATATACAGGTAAAATAACAAAGATCACCTACAAAAAAATCTACATCATACTTAATGATGAGACGATAGGTGCTTTTTCCCCATAATCAGTAACAAGGTAAGGATATCCTGTAACTTTTCCTATTGAACATTGTTCTGGATTCCTAGCTACTTCAATAAGACAAAAAAGAATTAATAATCATACAAATTGGGAAGGAAGAACCAAAACTGGTTCTGTTCAATGATGCGATTATCTCTATAAAATCACAAAGTATTACAGAGAACCCCTAAACTAGTAAGTGACTCTTAGAAAGATGAAAGTAAGGTCTGCATACAAAAGATCACATTCCTGAATACCAGCAATGAATAACTGGAATTTAAAAACTACACCATTTACAATAGCACTGGAGAAAAAAAAGGAAGACTTCGATGTAAATCTAACAATATATGCAGTACTATACACTGAAAACTCCAAAACACTTTATATCAGAGAAGATCTAATTAACTGGAAAGAGAAATTAGGGTTAGAAGATATAAAAATTTTAAGATATTCTTAAGTTCTCCCTAATTTTTTCTGTAGGTTGAACATGATTCCAATCAAAATCCCAACAAGCTTTTTTGAGTAGATATAGACAAGCTGATTCTAAATTTGTATGTAAAGGCAAAGAACCTAAGATAGACAAAATAATTCTGAAAAACAACTACAAAGTTGGTGGGGTTGCAGTTTCTATTAGTGAATGGTACTAGATCTTTGGTGGTGGGTGCAGTGTGATTCATACATTTATCAAAAAGTGAAGCTACATCCCCTCAAACTTAAATATTTTTGCAAATCAATTAAAAAATAAAAATTAGTGGTTAAAATGTTTAAGAGGAACATTTCATTAGTATAGCCTCTGAATAGCTCCAAAAAATATTTTCTAACTACTGTGGTAGCTGCCTCCAAATTCTGTGCCACTCTTCTCTCCATGAGGTGAAACTTATATTCCCTACTTTTGTAGGCTAGGTTTAGTGACTTGCTTCTAGCAAACAGACTGTGGAAAAAGAAAATAGCGTGACAAACGTTGCCTTAAATGACCGAGGGTAGTAAGTCATGCTGAGATGAAATGGGCACTGTGTCACTGCAGTATATTTTCCTTAAACCCATACCTTCCATTTATTTGATCATGAGAAAATACCAGACAAACCCAAATTATGAAACATGAAAAATATCTGGTGAGTACTCTTCAATATTATCGTCATGAAAGACAAGGAAAGAAAGACTCTGTCACAGATTGGAAGAGACCAAGGAGGCATGATTAAATGCAACTGAGTGTCCTGTACTGGCTCCTGGAACATAAAAAGAATATTAGTGGGAAAACTGGAAAGCTGAATACAGCTCAGATTTGTAGGCTCTAGTATAATGAATGGCACCATCTTCAGTATTTCTTGGTTTTGATTAATGTCCATGGTGATGTAAGACCTGTCAGAGGCATCTGTGTGGAGGGAGTATGGAAACTACAGTTAAAGTTCATTGCTGGATGGTGATAGTTACCATCAACTAAAGTAACCCAAATATTAAACAAAACAAAAAGAACAGAGACAGCAAATCAATCCTCCTGGGTTCCACCCTTACTTTTGAGACTGATGTGCAAATCCTCCTTTGGGTCTATGTTGACAGTTAATAGACTGTTTCTAAGCACTATTTGAATTCCCTGAGCAAAGGTGATAATAAGAAAAATTTCCTAAAAACATCATATCACCTAGTTCATGGATTTAAGAATAAAGCCATGTAAATATTATTTAAGCATTAGGAACTTTATAGGAAAACTAGGTTAGCATCTTGTCAAGCATGTTCTTTCCCTGGGAATAAGTAGATCCAAAGTAACAAGACTTTCACTTCCACCTCTCATGCTTTCTCATTTATGAATAAGGGTCTGGGATTCATAGGTAACAGCTGTCTTAATTCTACCTCATTCTTACCATTATTCACATTTCTGACAATACTAATTTTTATGAAATTATCTACAATTAATACATTGCTATATTTCCAACACTGCTTAAAATATTTTATTAAAGAAGCAATACATTTAGCTAAAATTTTTTATTAAAGAGGATAACGTTAGTAATAACTTTAAGGCACATGAAAAATTTTTGGCATTTCAAGAAAAAAATACAAATTATCCCAGTAAATTTCAGAATCTATTTCATTAGTCCAGAGTTTTAAAAATAGGTTTCAAAGCACCAATATCTCCTCTCAGATAAGGCACAAACTTCATGACTCGGTGTCCCCATTCTTAAGCAACTGTTGTCTGGTGTACTCCCAAATGAGCAGAGCTCCACTCACATGGACGTTTAGTGACCGAATGATGCCTTGTTGAGGGATCTCCACACAAACATCCAATTGCTGGATCAGATTTGCTGGAATCCCTTCACGTTCATTTCTGATGAAGAAAAACCAGAGAACAAAGGTCAGTTTTCTTGTAACAAATACATTTTTTTTTTACCAGATATTCTGAATGTTACTGGAAGAAATAGACTAAAGAAATGATGTAAATCTGTGGTCTCAAAAAAGTAAGATTGTAACAAAAAGATTTATGGGTCAATTCTGTGTTCACCTGACTGTCCCAAACAGGTACAATTAAATGAAAACAAAGGGGCTTTCCATACACTTTACAAGTTAAAAGTCAAGTGCACATGTAATATAGCAAGAGCGAAGGTAAACTGTAAAATATCTGAAACATTTTCTAGACTGACACTCAGAATATACATTAGAAAAAGACTTTTCTTACCCCAACAGGAGTAGAGATTTCCCAGGAAAGCGGTACTGGTTCAGAGCTAAACTTTTGGCAGTTTGTTCCACACCAATGATGGTATAACCTTCTCCTCTTTTCTGTTGTAGATAATCAACTAGATGGGATGCTTTTACCTTGATATTAGTTTAAAAAGAATATTCAATATTCAGTCATTCAGTTACAGCTCGGCTTGGGGTAAAATCAGAGTTTCTAAACAACTTTTATTAAATCAAGCTTGTTAAATCTTTAAAAGGAAAAGGATAGAATTACATACTATAAGAAAAAACTCTCCCAACCATATACATTCATAGAATTTATTCCTAAATCAATAGTGAATTGCTGCTACAGGGTACATTTTATGAAAAGAATTCTGTGTTATTGACAAATTTCTAAAACCACAATGATGTGAAAGACAAAAGACAATGAGAGAAGAGACAAGGAGATTTCAGCTGTACTTTATGTATCATTTAAAAACTATTGAGAGCCTCCCCTGGTGGCACAGACAGTTGAACGCAGCGCTGTAAAGCTGTCTGCAGCCTCTGCAGCGCCGGTTCAATCCCAGCCGGCCAGCAAGGGTCCCACATGGCACAGCAGACCTCTCCTGTCTCGCCTGCTGCTCCCCTCAGCAGTGTATTTCGTCAGTCTGCCTGTTCTATTCCCCACTCTGTCTCTGGTGAATCCTCTCACCCTCCCGCGAATCTGGCCTGTACCCCGGTTCTTGTATAAATAAATAAATAAATCTTTAAAAAAATTAAAAAAAAAAAACTATTGAAAGATCACCATGTATTACTGCAATAGGACTGATAGATAAAGATAGATAGAATACTACAAAAGATCTTAGCAAATAAAAAATTCAGTAAGTTACATTCCACCTACCTCCACTAAAGGAAGCCATTGCTCAGCTGAAACACTGAGGTGCTGAAACTGCTTGTCTTTGATACACTGCAGATTGCCAACAACAAGCACGGAGGCTCCAAACACCTCACAGGTGCGGCACAGTCCTACACAGAACAAGCTGGAATTAATGTATATAGTAAACACTAAGCTCAATATGTCCATACAATCCTTTAAAACTCCCCAAAAAGGGTAAGCATAGAAAAGACAGCCAAATATGGTGGTGGGTTGATTAAAAACTTTCAGGAAAAAAAGATTTTGAGCAACCTCCCTGATGTACTATAAATTTACCTCCTAAGTTGGTTGGTTTATCAATGAGTGAGGCCACTACAATAAGTCCACTAACTGACTTTCCAAGTTTGGCAGCACGATCCTGAAATATTAACTCCACATCTAAATCTGGAACATTGTGTTTCCATGGTATAATCTTCTTCTGAACATCAGTCCACTCTGATTGGTTATCCGCTTCTCCTGAATTAGAGCCTGAGAAGGAAAAATATTCCTATATAAATTTCTCTCACTCCATGGATTTATTTATTTACACATACAATTATATTTTAATAGTTTAGAATGTGATTCATTAACTAAAGAACCTCACTTGGATTTAGACATAATTATCAAATTTCAGTAGTAATTTTAAGTTTTCAAATTCAATTTTAACCAGTAACATTTAATGAAAATTTAAGACACTTTTAATATTTTAGCTTATACAAAATTAGGAAGCATCTCAGAATTCACAGATATGGTACCATAATGTGGTAGCAATTTTTCTTAGAAGCACATAAAATAATGGTATATTGTTAAAAACAATTTTTGTAGAAATACTCCTGGAAAAAAACACAGTTCTTAAATTGTAAGTAACATGAGGAAACTTTCTAAAGTGAAAGAAATTCTCTGAAGCAATGATCTCCTAACTAATCCAATGAGCACACAGAATGTTCTTAGTCTGTCCAGCTGCAGTGTTTTGATCTCTAATACAGGACTAAGATTATCCTTTTAGGCTCTTCTTCCATTCTGTCCAAACTAACGGAGCAATCAAGGGGCACTTAGATCACTGAGGATGGAAGAGACATGCAGAAAGCTATGACGCGACACGCTATGTAGTGAGATATACTCACACACAAAGGAGTTACTGGTATTTGGGGATAGGAGGGGTAAGAAGTAAGGTTCAAGGGGAGCACAGTGCAGGACATGGAAAGATTTCAGACAGCACCTGTACTCTGGTGTAACTCAGCCTTATAATGGGTGGAGGAAGATGGCTCCGACTAAGTCATAAGAACTTTATATATAATAATAAAGCATTCATTCTGCAGATAGTTGCCATATAGGGTTTTATTTAAGAAGGGGGATTCACTGCAGGGTATTCCTGACTTACGATGATTTGACTTAATGATTTTTGATTGAAGATGGTGAAAAACTGATAGGATTTCAGTAGAAACTACAAAATAATACTTTGTTGTAATGTTGGGCAGTCGCAGCTGGAAGCTGAACTCTCAGTTGCTGGGAGTTGAAGCTCCCAGCCTGCATTTCGATTTAAGGTATTTTCAACTAAAGATGGGTTTATCACATTACCCCATTAAAAATTGAGGAAAATCTGTACTGGTTTTGTGTTTTAGAAAAATCCCACTTAAAAGTGATGTGGAACGTAAGTTGGGATTGGAAAGCCATTAGTCCAGTCAAAGACAGTCTAAATTAAGTCAGAGCAAGTAAGTTGAGAGGAGCTGAAACCAAATTGGGAAGCAGAATAACCAAGATTTGGTAATAGATGCATGTGCCAGGAGAGAAAACTGTGAAAGAATGACATCTGTGATGATCAAGTGATGCTATTAATAGGAAGGGACTACAGAATGTTCTTGGGCAGAAATTCTATTTGTCTACATTGAGTTGAAAGAGTCTGGGATATCTCAAATATCCAGAAGATTCATGAAAAAGACTGAACAAAGATGAGGATTTGAAAGTTACAATTGCATAGGCGGTGGTTTCAAGTTGTGGAAATTTAATAAAAATATTCATAGGGAACATTCGAAATAAGAAAAACAAAAGGCCAATGGAAACATTCAGGGGCACTAACATTTAAGTCTCAGCATAAAAACCATACTGCAACATCCCTCTACCAAAATAAACAAAAACAAATGGACCTCGTTAGCCTTCTCCCCATCCAAGTAACACCTCTTTTCTCTGCTCCACTCTCTCAAACTCAAATCATTGTGCACAAATGTCATCCTTTTTCTCTTTCCTCCCAGTCTCTGCTCTGCCCACCCCAGTCAGGTTGTCCCCCCTACACTAATGAAGTGACTCTTGTACCATCTTTTGCTCCCAAATCTTTATATTTTGCCATTTTCTATTTTGGGAACATTCTCCCCAGAATCGTTACTTGACTTGCACTTATTTTATGTAGGTCACTGTTCGATGTCAACTCCTTAGAAAGGTTTTTTTTAATTATCTGTCACTATCTTTTTACCCTGCTTTATGTTCTTCATTGTACTTTTTCCTATCTGACATTATCCTTAAATATTTGTTTAGGTTTGTCTCCCTGTGGAGCAATGTAAGCCCCACAATGCCAGAGATTTATGTTTCATGTCAAGACATGGGAACATAGAAGGTAATCAATAAATCTTTGTTGGATGAATAAATTTTAAGGTGATGGCTTATAATGCATTAGTGAAATAACCAGTGTTTGATTAAAAAAACAAAAATGCACTTTCCCAGAACTCTCATCCAGACATATTGAATTAAATATAAGGGTGGGACACAAAAATCTGCACTTTTAATAAGTTGCCCAAGGTATTCTTGACAAAATTTTTGGAGAACTACTACAAAACTACTACCACAAATATAAGGTTCATGTGGGGGAACTCATAAAGGAGGGTGAGAAGGGTGAGATTAAGAAGGAAAATCAGGAGAGCAAAAAATTAGCAAATAAATGCTACATGAAGGTCAAGTATGATAAGGGAAGGACACCTATTTAGATTCTGTAAAGGAGGAGACAAAGAAAAATTCTGATTTTCTGAAAAAGTGTTTTAGTTATGGTTATGGGCTAAGAAGAGCCAGAATGAGGACAAAATGTAAGTAACAGAAATGGTAAGAATCTAGACTACTACTACACACCTACGAAGATTAGCTCTGATTTTAAATATGGGGAGAAGGGTTACTTAATCTTGTATTTTTTAGGGTACTTCACTGTGAAGAGGAGAGCAATCAAGGGCAATGGAGGTCCTAGCAAAAACTGAAGGGAAGGAGTCAGTATAAAAGGAGCTAGAGAGGGCCTCCCCTAGTGGCGCAGCAGTTGAGCGCTGGGCTGTGAAGCTGCCTGCAGCATCTGCAGCACCGGTTCGATCCCCGGCCACCGGCGAGGGTCCCACATGGCGCACAGACCTCTCCTGCCGCCCAGTGCTCCCCTCAGCAGTATACTTCGTCAGTCTGCCTGTTCTGTTCCCCGCTCTGGCCCTGGTGAATTCTCTCACCCTCCCGCACTTCTGACTGTACCCAGTGCTTGTATAAATAAATAAAATAAATCTTTAAAAAAAAAAAAAAAGGAGCTAGAAATACAGAAGAAAGAAGAGATAGCAAATGAGGGATGTTCAACCAGACAGAGAAGGGACTAGAATCAAGAGTCCTGCTTTATTCCTATAGGAAACAAGAAAGGAAATTTCATAATTTGGCCCTTTTTAAAATCTGTAATTTTATAGAAACATAGTGGAAGAGCTAATAAATATTAATATTTAATATTTCAAAGAAAAGAACAGCCACTAATTTTATCTAATAAAGCAGATCAGACTGTGGTTTTTTATAGCAAGGCCAACCACAAATAAAGGTACTAGTTACAGATCTATCACATTCTTTTCACTGTCTTTTCTCTGTGTGGAGTAGCAGAGATATCACCCTATCAGTGAAAAAGGAATATCAACTATCTGTTCTAAGGAATTTAATCGTAAACCTAACCAAATCAACATGGGGAAAAACAAGCAGAGATTCTTTTTACCTATGTCCTGCTGAGACCAATCGCCTGGTTTTAGTTCAGAAAGACCAGTTGAAGATTGGTACCACTGAAATCCCGCATCTAAAGGAATGTCAGTGAAGCTGGTAAATTTATCAATAGCAATCCACTCATCTTCAACAAGGCTGGAAAGACGTGGAAGGATGTAAAATATAGTCTGAAAAGAAAATTATAAAATCTAAATATTTTTCCTTAAAAATAGCAAAGAAATACATGATAACATGTTTAAAGCACTGTTTATTACTACTGATTTTTCTTCCAAACTATGATAGCTAGTTACATTTGCACATTCTCCTTTATATCTATGGCAATGTATTGCTCATCTTTTCTAAGAAATTAGGGAATTTATTTAGAAAATCCTTGAGACAAGGCAAGTCTTCTACTCTGATATTTCTGATTGTACATAATAAACCACTGTGCTCTTAATAAAGGCAAAAAATCTTTTGGAATTAATCATCATCAATGATTAATTTGGATAAATGCTATTTATTGGTAACCAGATACCTCCATAAGCAATCAAGTTCAAGTCCTTCTGATGCTAAATTTTTTTCTTGCTACCAGCAGACAAATTAAGAATCTAAATTAAATTTTGCTTAACTATGTATAACCTGTGTGGTGTTAGACAAGCCAGTTAACCTGTCTTGGTTTCAAGTTCCTCATTTGTAAAATGAGGATAAAATCAGGTTAATACAGCACGTGAAAGTATTTTGTAAACACAGTGTGATACCACTGTAAATAGTATTAATTCATCATTAAGAAAAGAATCCTCCTTCCCTTCCCTTCCCTTCACCTACTCAGAAAAATCTGAGAACCAGAAAATCATCCAAGGTGAAATGACACATAAGAAGCACAAGTACAAGTAATAAGCCATTTAAAAATGAGGTAATAAGCTCAAAACTGTGCAAAGACAAAAGTCTTTAGGACAAGTTTTTCTTCATGCAAGCAGTATTTGCACACATTTAAATAGGCATGATGGCAACTTTATGTTTATTGAGTAAGTACTAGGTATAGCTCCAAACATACAGAGACGATTTTTGTGAGCCACTATTTTACTTACACAGAGTTATGATTTGTATCATTAATGGAGACTGAAATGTATGAGAGTGAGGCAGTGAAAGGCAGGGATGAAGGAAAGAGGGAAATAGGGGACTTACTCCTGCTGGAGAACTGAATAGAAAAGGTTGACTTAACACTAGAGAGTTATTAAGAGTCCTTCAGAAAGATGTCAAACAAAGCATTCTGGGTGCTAAAGAACACAGAACAGAGCATATTAATATTTGAAGAATCTTAAATAATTTTTGCAATGAAGCAGCAGTCAGTACATGTTAATATTCGATAATGAATATCTCACAATATATAGATTGATATATTTTATATCAATTTTATTAGTAATATACCCCCAAAAATTGCTAATGCACATTAATTAAAGTTGCTGATACTTCCAGGTTCTTTAGAGGAAAAGTCCTAGGTCACATGTTTTAAATTCAAAGCAAAATATTATAATTATAGCTAAAAGAGGGAGAAATACAACTTATACAAAGCTTAATAATTTATATATGAAGTTAGTTAATCCACATGCTATTTATAATAATATGTTCATGGCTCTTAAAATTACATAAGCACATTCTGTTATAATCAATAACGTGGCGTATAATTTGCTATACAGCTTTTGTCTCCAAGACCCTAAAAAACACAATTCACAGAGAAGATCTCTTTGCTCTTTCATTAACAGTGGTCTTCATTACAACAAAATCTCACCTGCACAAATGTTCTCACTCATTTCCTTTTAATGTCAGAACAGATTTCTGTTTAGAGTTAAATATTCCCCCTTCCAGTGTTTACAAGCCAGACACTGCCTGAGAAATAGAAAGTGAAAATGACTAGCCAATTTTCACTGCTTACGAGTGAAATGCAAGCAAGTCATCTGCATAAAGTGACAAAATTAAACTTAGAACTTTACAATGTTAAGGTGATGTTTGCAAGCAAGGCAAAGTTAACCTAATCATAATCTTTCAACAATAATGGCAGCAAGTATGAGGATTAAAGATACAGAGAATTTACACAGAATATTGGAGAATTTAAAAAAGATAATCTCTGCTTACCTCCAAACAGTAATCTTTAAGTGGGTGAAATGTTGCAAAAAAGAAATGTTCTTGAATGCGTTGCCAATTCTTCTTGGCATTCCTAATGATTAAAAATATGGTATGATGAATGGGCAAGTGAAACAATTCTGGTAAAGGAGAAATATCAATTAGATATCTTAAAAAGGTACTGCAGAATTTAGAACAAATGGAAACTTTTATGAATTTTATACTAAAACTTACACACCAGTATCTTCAAGATTAACATACTCTGAAAACTGACACAACTGGATGCTGTCATTAATATGTGGAATATAGAAAAACCAAACTAAAGGTGAGATAAAAAGACAAGCTTAGAAACTAACCCTTGAAAACTGAACTGGAAGCATCCAGAGTGGGGAGGGGTAAGAAGAGGGAAGGAATCACAGTGGATTATGATGGTGGGCTCTAGGTGATTTGGCAGTAGGTAAACCTACTTCAATTAAAATAATTTTTAAACAATAATTTTGATATTTTGAAATATAACTCAAAGTCAGACATAGAAACTACTCTCAAAGTCATGCAACATGCAATGATTCAGTAAGAATGAAACCCAATTTTCTGGAGTTAAAGTAATCAATATAGAATAATGTGCAGAGGCCTGTGCTCCACGAAATGTGATGAGAAGTAACGGTGGTTGTCAGAGGACAAAGACAGTACCAGCCTGCCAGGTACACAACTTATAGGTTTAGGGATAAAAGAATTCTACAAGGGAATGATACAAGAAATCTGGGTTGAAATCCTTAAGTCTCTCTTTGGCAGCAAGTGCTTTTTTTTTTTTTTTTCCAGAATACAAAACTATTATGTAGGTCACTTTTTCTATTCTGAAGATTCACAACATATAACTAAAGGATACACCAGCTTTCATAAACCAAATTTAATATAAGCAGGTTTTAAATTTTGAACACATTTGTTAAGGCTTAAAAGGGGAGAGGTAGGGATAAAAAATTATACAGGGCCAGTAGGCTTCAACTTAATTCATGATGAACACTCAAAGGCTATAGCAATTCCAAGACATTTACCTGTCAAGATTCTCTTGCTGTGGCCAATCTTCACCTCTCTCCAAAGTTCAGAGACCCTCTACTCACCCTCACCACCATAGCAGGTAGCTATGCTCATGTATCATTGGGGTGACAAGCTCAGATGAGAGTCCTTTCATCTCCCCTCATTCTCTGTGCACCGGTCCTCTTCTCCTTCACTCTCAAGAGTCTCTGCCAAAGGGCAGGACCCCAATTTGTGCTCTGATCCTATCCCTTTGGATTTTGCTCCATCTTCCTATTCTGAATAATCTCCACTCTTCTATGCTAGTCTTTCAAATGGGCTTTATGAATCTTAAAAAACTAAATAAAACTCTTATTTAAGTGTCCATCAGAAGGGGACTGTGCAAAAACCTCGGTGTGGCCACACAACGAACAGCAGGTATCTGCTTCAAGCCTTCTCCTCCCACACCTCAAGAAGAAATGAGACTTTCAAGACCATGTAAAAAAGACAAAGAATTGTAGGTGCCAGGGATACATCCAGAATCATAGTTAATGCTATAATAAATTACTAATTTTAATGACTAGACTGTGCTGGGACCAGTATCTGAGGCAGTTTTCCAGCACCTGAATCATGCATGACTCACCAGAGGTGTTTACCCCCTTCCTTTGCCCTATGTCCTTCATCTATAACACCGTATCTCTCTACCCAATTCTTTTCTCCCTGTTCTAGCACATATAAATCTACCTTGGTGTTGATATTTGTTGAACTGAATATTTTTCTCAGAGCCCCCAAATATTCCTTCCCCGCTTATTACCAAAATGCCTCTTTTCAACAAATGTGTCAAATGTTAAAGCAGGTAGAAGAGTTATAATGTAAATTTGTGGCATGGAAATACCTCAGCTCTGGAACCACCAGAAGCTTTATGACTCATAGTCTCATTTGCCTAACTTCAAAGTCAAGGCAAACTTCCTATATGCCATGTGTTTTCCAAACACTATTTTAGATGCCTCCTAAGCTGCTTCCAACTATTATCATTTTGCTTATATAAATTAGTGGATATTTCTGAATTACTAAAGAAATGCCTTTTATGCTGACTGATATTGTCTTTAAATTTATAAAAATCCCAGCATCACTGGATGGTGATAATCAATAATAATAAAAAATAAAGTAGAACATTAGTACTACCTTAGGGATGAGAAGTAAGTTCATATATCAAGAAACACTTAGGATATGTTAGCCTGCTTTTGTCTTGTGACCTTCAACCTCAAATGGGTGTGGGAGAAAGAGGGCTTTACAAAATAATGGGTTACATATTCCTCCCCCATGCCAGCCACAGTAGCAGTATTTTATTTAATATTGAGCTTCTATAATAGGTTGGATTTTGTTTGGGAAACAGAAGAGCTCTCTTGGAAACAAAAAGGAAAAAAGTATCCAGCTTTAGTACTAAGGACAGGTTAAGAATACATCTTCAAAGTCAGATCGTGCTGCTTCTCTTCAGTTCTTTTACAGCAGGGGCTAATAATATTTGGCTATATGTGGGAAATTATTTATAAATAAAGGATCGAGAATTAAAAAAGTAATAAAAGGTCAAGACATAGCTATGACAATTAGAATTGTCATTCCAGACCTCAAAGAGTATCCTGCTTAGCTTTGCCTTCTCCCAGCTCTAAGTGCTCCAACACAATGGAATAATGAGCTCCCTCAGGAAGAGCACCTCCCACATCCCCTCCCATGTGCTCAACTAGAAGCAAAAGGAAGGGACAAGGCTTACTTACCCTGCTCCATGCATGTTTTCCACTTGACTAAGACTGGATTCAATAACAGAAGTCAATGCATCAAATTCTTCAACATGCAGCAATTTGCACATGCTCCAAATTTTCTTAAGAGCAACCAATGCATACAGTCGAGTACTAAAATTGTGATTGAAACACCACTGCAGTACAATAATAAGTGCTTGTTTCAGAATCATTTTCTGAAAAGAAAATGTAAACATGGACCATTTTACCCTGACTGTGTAATTAAAAACAAGGCATGCAAATTATAAAAATGTTACCTCATCAATCTTCTTTCACTGGTTTGGCAATTTTTTTACCACCCTTCTATAACCATCTCAATCCTGGCTTTGCTCTAATTTCCTTAGTTTCCACTAATGTCCTTTTTCCTTTTCCAGGATTCCACATTACATTTGGCCATGTGTTCCCCTGGCTGTCTCTTGGTTGTCAGTTTTTCAAACTGCCCTTGTTTTTGCTTATTTGGTCAGTTTTGAGGAGCAGTAGTGAGGTATTTTGCAGACTGTCCCTCGCTTGAGGTTTGGGTGACATTTCTCTCATGATTAGACTGGGGCTATGGAGTTTTGGGAGGAAACTACAGAGCTAAAGGGTCATGTTCATCACATCATATCCAGGATACACAGAATCAGTGTGACGATAGAGTTACTCTGTTTCCCTATTTGGAAGGATGTCACATCGCCAGTACAGCCCACACTTAAGGGCAGAATTTCATATAAGTTATGTGGACCTTTAAATGCACAGATTTGTTGTCTCTACCATTCATCCATTCATTCTGTCATTCATTTATATCAGTGTGAACTTACAGGTATTTTATAATGTGGGTTGTAATCCAATACTACTTACTTCTGTTGCTCAGATTGTTTCAGTTCTTGCTCTTTGGAACTCTTTCATTTGGTCCTGGGTCTCATATGACCAATGCGCACGCGCGCACGCGTGTGTGTGTGTGTGTGTGTGTGTGTGTGTGTGTGTGTGTGTGTGTACCTTTTCCTTACAAACTTCTCCAGTGGTGTGTGTGTGTAAAGCATTCCCTTACTTGATATTTGTTACAAACTTCTCCAGTATGTGTGTGTGTGTAAAGCATTTCCTTACTTGATATTGCTACAAACTTCTCCAGACTTATCTTGTACAGTTTCTGCCCTATTCTATAAATAGCCATTTCTTCAATGATCCTTGGTTCCTTTTACTAATGAATGATATTGGAAAACCAATATCTGGGAGCTGGGGTGGGAAGGGTAATACTTTTATGTGGGGGTGGGAGGGGAAATACACCATCAATCTCACCAGGGAATACCATCTTCCTATGAATCCTACACTCATATATATAATGGCATTGCTTGGCCATAACAGGGAGACAGTACTTCTCATACCAATGTAAGAAGTTTTGATGCTGAAGACAAGGAAAACTATATTTCCTTTTGTTTGCTGACAAGGGTTGTCTACACTAACCAAGCTGGCAGAACAATACACAACCATGAGCAGAACTTTTTTTATTTCCTTTCTATTACTTCTGAGAACACATTTAGTGTCTTACCTCTGTCCTGTGAGACAATAGTTTTGAATCTTATATGACTACTGAGGGTAGATCCTGTACACATTAAGTAACATACTTTAAAGAAACTGGAAAGTCTTAAATGACTGCTTTCAAGAAGTCTTTAAACAAAAATATATTTGTCAAGTAACAATGGACTTTACAAATTATAAATCAAACTAATAAAGTAAACTGGTTTGGCCTTCACTTAGTTATCTCAGTTTAGATTTTTTTTTTCAGATGTTGAAATTGAGATTCTCTTCTATTAATCAACCATTCTTTTAAGGATTATTTTAAAAATAAAAAATAAACTTAGAATATGTAACATACAGTAAAAAAGGACCTAATGATAAAAATAACACCCTTTTTATCCCACATCTAATACACCCATCTTCCAAGATAAATTTCAGAACTTGTCAAGACTATTCTTGAACTAATTTATCCACCCTACCATAGGAGTTTATTGTCTACCTTCACTCTCTCATTAGATAGTAAACAAATCTCTTTCCTGTATATATATTTTTTTTAAAAGTAACATTTGATGTTATCTGATACTACAGCTTCCTCGATCTTAACAGTAAGTATTTACACAAGTTTTCACATAACTGTAACTAATACACTGCTATCTGGCTTACAAACACTGCATGATATCATTACTTTAAAGACATCATTATTTTATTTTTTTTTATTTTTTTATTTTTTTTTTTTAATAGAGGCATGTTTTATTTATTTATTTATTTTATTTGTTTGTTTGTTTTGTTTATACATGCACTGGGTACAGTCAGAAGCGCGGGAGGGTGAGAGAATTCACCAGAGCCAGAGTGGGGAGCAGAGCAGGCAGAAGGACCGAAGTACACTGCTGAGGGGAGCAGCGGGCGGCAGGAGAGGTCTGCGCACCATGTGGGATCCTCCTCCGGTGGCCGGGGAGCAGCCGGGGATCGAACCGGCGCCTCAGAGGCCGTGGGCAGCTTCGCAACCCAGCGCTCAACCGCTGCGCCACCAGGGAGGCCCAAAGACATCATTATTTTAGAGGTTGAAATGCGGTGGGAAGAAAAATATGTTAAGATTTCTGTAATAAGTTAATGACTAAATTTGGTTATTACCAATGTTTTAAAGACAAAAACACTTTGAAAAATTCCAGGAAATATTTTTACCCTCTGTATTTTTATTTCTCTTTCAACATGAAATGACATTTCTTATTTCACGTTGTTTTCGCCATTTTTAACCTATCAATACATTTTTCTCTTCAGATTTAATAATACAGACTCTTCCTTTTTTTTTTCTTATTTTTTTATTGTGACCCTAATAATATCTTGACCCTAATATATCTTTTATTTTTTTATTTTTTTAATTCCTTTTTTTTTTAATATTTTAACTTTGGCTTTCATTTATTTATTTTTGAGGTAATGCTGGTTTACAGTGTTGTCTTTTGGAAGTCTGGGACTCCTCTCTTTCTGTGCTGTTACCATAGTGCTCCCACCACCAAAGCACCCAGAGTCCACGCCATAGTCCAACGTTCCCTCTCCAATTTGTGCTTTACCCCTTCCATTTATCCTCCCCCCTCTGAATGTCTCAGTTCTATTATCTTCTTTCAAGGACTAGTTTTTTAGTTTGACTTTGTCTAACCTTTGTATGGTTTCTCTATATACCACATACAAGCAAAATCATCTGGGAATAATACAGAATCTTGCTCTAAGTCATACTGGAGATTTTCCTAAATTCTTTACAGTTGCCATAGTGATTAACCAAAATTAAAATTAGCTACAATCTCTACTTATCTATGTAGTGAGCCACTAGGAAAATTCTCTAAACTGAGAAAGATGAAAAAACTGGACTTCAAACTCCAGATGACAGTCATTGTATATCAACTTCCAATTACCCACTAACTTTTAATATTCTGACCATAAGTTTCTTTGCATCAGCATTTCTTAAATAAACTATGCCAGTCAAGGAAGAATTAAAGTTCATTAAGCAAATCTTACATAAATTCTTATACAAAATTATCATGTCATGAAAAATTGTTCATTAATTTGTCTGTGGATTCACTAGGTACAACGCATAGCAGAGAGAGAGAGAGAGAGAGAGAGAGAGAGAGAGAGAAAGTATTTGTGCAGACAGGTGGGTAATATCTAATTCTGAATTTGTGTCCAAGTACGAGGATACATTTGGGGTAAGGGGAGCAAAAAGGAAGGGGAGAAATTGCAAAAAACACAAGGAATGCTCTATATTTTAAAAAAGTTAGTACAGATATATAAAATTCTATGTTGAAAGCTAAGTTTAAACTCTTCTTATAGACAATTTAAACTCACCTTGTCTGGAATATTTTGAATGATGATGTCCAAATGTGACAAAACAGATAAAAATGTACAAATGCTTGTTTTAAGGTTTTCTTCACCCTGAAAAACAAATCAGATGAACAAAATGATACAAGACTTGCTGTGGTCTGTGAGCACTCTGCTGGGCAGGTAGGGGCCTGGAATAAGTTGCAGCCTCTTCCCAGACACAGGCAATCAAAGAAAAGAAAGTTACTTTACTTCTAGATGATTTATAAACATTTGAGGATAATGTATAGCACAGGGTCTGCAGATTTTTTCTGTAAAGGACCAAAAAGTAAGTAAAAATATGGTTTTATAAGCCACCCAGTCTCTGTAGCTACTACACAGCTCATCATTTAAGAGCAGCTGCAGCCATAGACAGTATGAAAATGAACAGGCATGGCTGTGTTCCAATGCAGACTGAATTTGGCTATAGTTTGCCAACCCCTAATTTAGCACTTAAGGGAAGATGTCTGGAATAGAAATATAAATTAGCAAGTAATTCACATCAAATAATGAATCTATGACTTAAGATAAAACTGACTGTAAAATAAGGAGAAATTAAGGAGAGAAGATGAGGTCTTGAGAAGCACTAACATTTATTAGCTGAACAGGGAAAGAAAATCCTGGTGAGAAAAAAAAAAAAAAAAAAAAAACAGAGAAAAGAAGGGGTAGAAGGGCAGGAAGAGGCAGGAAAGTGTGTTACTGGACCAAGAACAAAGAAGTTGTCAACCTGAGGATGGGGCTGAGAGTAGAGAAGACTGACCAGCTGACTCAAAATAGTGTCTTCCAAGAAGTTATTTAGCTGAGAACCGGTCTATTGGACTAAAGAATAGGTGGGGAAGATGTGGGAAAAATTTATCTACAAACAATGAATGAGATATGAGCATGTTTAAAAGCCAGTGGAAACCAGTGGGTTAAGGAGAGACTGAGTACAGAAGAAAGCTGGACAGCAAAAAGGAAGACAGAAAGAAAGGGGAGTCAAAGATCAAGAAAAAGAATATTTTGAACAAAAGATTCAGGTCCTTATGGTAAAAGAGGGATGTATGACTGCCACTGAAATATAAAGGTATTCCTATGTGATGATTTTTATTTTCTCTAAAAAAATAAAAGTTAAAGTGATCTGCTTCAAATAAAGGAAGAAGAAGATATTTTGGACATTCACCTTTTTGAGGGGTATCTATGCTGAATCCCCTTCCCAAGTTTAGGGAATTCTCCTACCTTATAGCTCTTGTGGAAAAGCTGGAAATGCCAGATACTCATTTTCCTAGCCTCTTTGCAGTTAAAAAGAAAGCACTTGACCTGGGTCCAGACACATCTACCCCAAATTTTGAATTGAGAATGTGTACTCTAGAGAGGTAGAGCTCACAGAGAAGCCACCCCATGCAGGTGGCAGAGGCAGGGGGTATACAACAGGCTGAAGCTGCAGCACTCTGTGACAGCACAGTGTGTCCAGTTGGGGGAAAGGAATGTGCCCAGTGCATCAGCCCTGTGGCATGCCTATCGCTGCAGTTCCAGAAGCTTTGTAGGCATTCTGTAATCTCATGCCTCCTATTCAATCATTTGCTTTAACCCTGTTCTTGATTCAATCAACAAAAGTTGTTTCATTTGCTTACAATGAAAAACCATGACTGATGTCCACAGAAAAAGATGTGAAGAGAATATACAAGGTCTGAAAGCTTGTTCTGAAAAATGAGAGACTGAGCTAAGTAGAAAAACTTAATAGTAACTGCCAGTATTATTGGGGATACATGAGAGTCGGGATGTCTTAGATATGCACCAGAGCCAACCTGTCTTTTGTGAGAATTTCTGAGCCAATGGCTGCTCACTTGAGAGTACATAAAATAAGCTAGATTAATAAAACAGACCCAAAAAGCAACTAGCAAGGAAAAGACACAAAGTTTTTCTTAATTACGAAGAGAAGGAAGAACCTGAATTAGGAACTTTGAAGTAATGAAAAAGAAAGCAGCTTTTAAATTAGACATCTGAATTAAAGTTTTATCATTTCTCAAGGTAAGCCAAATTAACTTGATCACTCTGAGCTTTATTTTTTCATTAAGTAAAATGTAAAAACTCCAACCAATCTTGTAGGATTACCATGAAGTGTTGCTACTGCTGATTGTGACACCCAGGTTCAAGCTAGGAATGGAATAAAAAAGATGACAGAAAAATGAGCCAATTTTAGGGGGAAAGCTGTCAATCTGGCTGATGAAGTCTGAAGTGATAATGTGTAATGTCTAGAATGTGGCTGGGGATGCAGTGAACCAGCAGAGGTCGGAGCTTACAAAGCAAAAGAGTGCAGAGAGAAAAGCAAAAGGGATTAAAAATGATTCTTAAGATAAAATCCTGAGTAAGGGCTGGGAGAAAGAAAAGAAACACAGAAGTGACCAGCATAACAGGAAGGGAACTATGAAGTCCACACAGCACACACTCAGCTGTAGAAAAAGTACCTGCTGGTGTGAAAGGCTGCCCTGAGGGGAAGCAAGAAAACAAAAAGAAAAAGAAAGAAAAGCTGCATGTGAAGTCCTCAATGTCTGTCTGGTTTCCAAAAATGCTGTGACCCGCAGAGATTTAAGTGATGCAAGGTAAAGGTAAAGACCATTCATTCTCGAAGTTCATTCAAAAGAAAAGAGGATACTAGCATGATGGGGCCAGAAGGAAACAAAGTCAACAGGTTAAGAGTGAAGAATTCAAAAAAAAAAAAAGTGAAGAATTCAAAGGAAATTCCCAAAAGAGACGAGAAATAAGGACATAGGGACAGATGTGAAAAAGTGAACAATTTGTTCCACCAAAATAGAAAGAAGAAACAGAAAAAGTTATTTTTAGTAAGCCCTCTCCATTTCCACAAAAAGTAAAAGGCAAATCATTTATGAAGAAAAGGAAGGGTGAATTCAGAAACTAACAGAAAACATTCAAGACAAGTATTTAGAATCAAGGTTTAGAGTTTGTTATATGCCTAGAAATCTGCTACATTTGTAAACTCTATCATTAATCTTAGTATCAAGGCCTTTTTAAAAATAGCTATCAAGATTTAGGAAATGTTAGAATGCTAGAAATGGGGAATTAGGGGTGTGACTGAGGCTAAGATGAAGAAAGAATGAAAATAAATTGATATTTGGTTCTATTTAGGTGATAGGTGTTCCCATTTAGTCTTTCTATTCTGGTTATGCTGAAATTTCCATACTGAAAAATTACTTAAAATGTATACAATTTAATTCCTCATCATTCTTATTTCTAAGATCAAAGAAAGACAATGCTTAGTAAATAAGAACATAGAAGACACTTGTTTCCCTTACTTCTTAATAACAAAAGTCTTTTCCATCCTTATTTTGTTGGAATAGAATAGCTGCCAATAAAAACTATGATCCACTCAAGATAAACAGCAGAGGTTTTTGTTTCCTAAAATTAAAATCTAGCAAAATAGAATGTCAATACACTAGGGATAGGTAACTGAGAGTAAAAAAAAAACAGCTATTAAAGTGAAATAAATCTCTCCCAGCATAACTCAAATCTTATAATAACAAAAAAAAATAGGAAAAATCTCCTTTACTTACATATGAAAAGCAATCCCAGAACTTCGGAAGAAATTGAGGGAATTTACGAAGAATCAATATAATAATCCATTCTATAAAATATTTTATGGATGCTTGATTATTAGTGAAACCAGCCTGGAAAATCTTGTCAATAATTCTATTCAAGAAATTCTGAGAAAATAAAGTTCACAAATTAAACTGCTGTTATGGCTATTAAAAATTACTTTTATTGAGATATAGTTGACACATAACGTTGTATAAGTTTGATTTGATATACAATGTGTTGATTTGATTTATTTAAATTTGCAATATATCATCACCATAGATAACACTTCCATCACATCTCATAATCACATAATCACCTGTTCCTTGCCGCCCCAGGAAAGAAAAAAGGTAATTTTGGATAGAGACTCTTTGCTTAGCTGGTTTATGTTATACATGAAACTAAGGACAGGAAAATTAACCATGAGAAATGATGACCTCCTCCTAAATAATGCAGTTTTCCTGGTTTCTCGAGTACACAGATAACCCAAAACAATAGCACTGCAAATTAACTTAGGGGTAGGAAATCAGGAGTTAATACATTTATATTTTGTAATGAAACGGCTTATCTGAAAATAAACAGTTAAAATCTTAAATGGGACCATGTAAAACAGTTTCCAACTTATTTCAACAATACCTAACTGCCTTAGTAGGCTTCCTAACATTAATTTTAAGAACTATGTAAAATGTTAATTTTAAGAAAATCAGTTTCTTAATTTTTATCATAGCACATGAAAGTTTCTACTAAGTGTTCATATGAAAATGTTATGCTTGAGGTACAAATATAATAAATACCTGATCAAATCTGGGAAAAAGTACAAGCAGAGTCTGCCATATTCGGTTTTTCACTCTATGTTGTTGAGAATTCACATAGTATCGAGTCCTAGACTTGGACACCAATTCATCCTTGGGACCAGGGAGAGAATCAGCATTACCTACTGAATTTGTGATTATGAAAATAACATCAACAACTTCAAATTTAAGAAGTTTTAATAGAAGTCAATTATCCTCCAAAAGGCAGAAAGGAGGACACTTTGGGCCTCCCTGGCGGTGCAGGGAGTTGAGCGCTGCACTGTGAAGCTGTCCTGCAGCCTCGGCAGCGTGGGCTTTATCCTGGGCGGCCAGAGAGAAACCCACATGGTGCAGCAGACTTCTCTTATCTTGCCCGCTGCTCCCGTCAGCAGTGTATTTTGTCAGTCTGCCTGTTCTGTTCCCCACTCTGTTTCTGGTGAATCCGCTCACCCTCCCGCACATCTGGCCTGTACCCCGGTACTTGCATAAATAAATCTTCAAAAAAATTAATTAAAAAAAAGACACTTTCCTATGACACTTTTTTTTGTATCCCTTGGAAAACTTAGTTGCATTTGTTTAACTTACCTGCCTTAAAAATTAGAAGGGACTGTAAAACTGTATTCAGTACCAAAAGTATTTGGCACTATACTGCCACTTTTTTACAGCCACACAAGGTCATGGGGGTGGAAAAAGACTGAGGCATTTGACATTTATTACAATGCACCAATGTAGTACTTCTCATTTTATGCCCCCTTTGTCTTGGTTAACTTGGAATATAGTATCTACAATTTGATAAACACCACTGAGACAGGAATACCACAGAGATGGACAGTGCAATGCCATCACCAGACACAGGAAAACAGCAGCACAGAGCCTTTCTCCATCAGCAGATCTTCCCCCTGGATAGAATGGTGTGTGTGGTCCAAATTCAGTCAACTGCCAGGTGTACCTTTGTATCTGCTGGTGCCTCCTAAATTCTCATTCTGTACATCTTTGTAGGGTTTGGTCAATATTCATGGTTTCAACCATCCCTGGCATGATGGAGTATATTTCTTTATAAATATCATACTCTTAACTGCCTATTACTAGGTAATTTCACATAGTACCCAAAAGAAACTCAAATTTAATACATCTAAAACTAAAATATGTTCTCAAATTTTCTCTTTTACCTGGCCAAAATTGGGATAATTTATGCATCGATAATAACAACTAGAATGGATTGAAACACACTAAATATACTTAAAAAACAAAAACATTCACTGATCAAATATTTTAGAAGATACCATGAAACCAGTTCATGATTTTGAAAACTAAAATATAACAGGAAAATGAAATGTAAGCATTTATCTAGTTTGTCCTATAGGAAATATAATTCTGGGTAACTAAATAGTTTATGTTTGGATTTAGAAGTATTTTGCTAAAAATGACAAAGGAATAATAGGATTAAAGTATGACCATTTTATCACCCCTAAAGAATTAATGGTGTTAGGCAATTCACCAATGATTAACATCACAAGGAGAAATAACCAAATATGAGTATATACTGCCTGGTAAATGTATACTATTCTCCCGCTACTACTGATACCCCTGGTCCTCCCCATGAGAAAAAAAAAAAAAAAATCAAACTTAAATCTGATTAAGGCTCCAGTTCTAAATACTATCTTACAGCAAGTAAGCAGTCAAAGGAACATAATGAAAACACCATAGAACCTATTAAGGGGTACCATGCAAATTCCAACAGTGAAATTTAGAAGAAAAAATAATCTGCTTTCCTCAAAAAATATATTTCAACTTAAAATAAGAGAATTTGTTGATTAAGAGACATTCAGACCCTTCAACTAAGTGAAGTGTACAGACTATTTGGATCACATTTTCAAATAAAAAAAACTATGGGGAAAAAAAAGGTAAAACAATCAGGTGAATTTAAAGATTGACTATATTTGATAATACTAAAGAATTATGAATTTATGTATAGAAATGATATTGTCATCGCTAAAAAGGAATTATCTTTTTATTATACATTCTGATATATTTACGGATTAAAGTAGTTATGTAGGATTTACTTCAGCATTTTGTGTTGGTGGAAATATCTAAACAAGATTGTCCAAAAATTGACAGCTGTTGAGGCTTATAACTCTTAAAGCTGCTTAAAAAACAATGCCTAAAAGTTTTCAAGAAAAAATAAACAAGGAGGGCCTCCCCTGGTGGTGCAGCGGTTGAGCACTGGGCTGTGAAGCTGCCTGCAGCCTCTGCAGTGCCGGTTCGATCCCCGCTGCCAGTGAGGGTCTCACATGGTGCACAGACCTCTCCTGCCGCCCACTGCTCCCCTCAGCAGTGTACTTCGGTCCTTCTGCCTGTTCTTCTCCCCTTCTGCCTGTTCTTCTCCCCACTCTGGCTCTGGTGAATTCTCTCGCCCTCCCGCGCTTCTGACTGTACCCAGTGCTTGTATAAATAAATAAATAAATCTTAAAAAACTAAAAATAAAAAAAAATAAACAAGGAACTACTTCAATAAAGCCTGAAGACTGGAAGAAGAATGCAAAGAAGAAAACAAAGGTCACATAGCTCAGGTAGCTGCTCACCCACCAGACCAAAATACTGAAAGGTATTTACAGCATTTTAATTCTAACAGATCTAATTGTTAGAACTTCTTTCACTTCCTATTTCAAACCCCAACTGCATTTCTGCCCCTTCACTCTCTAGAAATGATCCTTTCATGTTCAGAAAAAAAATACAGTACCTCAGTAAGAACTCCTGGCATGCCTTTCTTTATACAGTCATTCTGCCAACCCTCCTTTTCTCTATGGCAAAGGATGAAATGCCAGTCCTACCATTCTGCTCTGGATTTGAGCCTCTTTAGGATTGCTTTCATTTTTATTTTATATTTTTTTTAAAGATTTATTTATTTATTTATACAAGAACTGGGTACAGGCCAGATGCGCAGGAGGGTGGGAGGATTCACCAGAGACAGAGTGGGGAACAGAACAGGCAGACTGACGAAATACACTGCTGAGGGGAGTAGCAGGTGAGAGAGGAGAGGTATGCTGCGCCAGGTGGGACCCTCGCCAGCTGGCAGGGATCGAACCGGCGCTGCAGAGGCTGCGGACAGCTTCACAGTGCAGCACTCAACCACCTGCGCCACCGGGGGAGGCCTGTCATTTTTCTTTATTTTCAAATTACCCTTTACATTTACAACTTGACTTGTTCAAATTTTCATCTTCAGAAAACAAAGCTTTGGCCTGAACAAGCTTATACTATATAACAAGTTTCTAATACATACTTTTCTGTCTTTGCTTTTCATCTCCTTAAGTTTATCCTTCCCCTAGACATTCGAGTCAATCTAGCCTATACAAGGATTTTTTTAAACTGCAATTCACATACCATAAAATTCAAAGTGTATATTCCACTGGGTTTTACAATATTCACAGAGTTGCAAAACCATCATTACCACCTCATTCTAGAACATTTTCATCAAAAATAAATCCTGTGTCCATGAGCAATCATTTCCCAGCCTCTCCTACTCCCAACCCACAGCAGCCATGAATCCATATTCTGACTACAGGTTTGCCTATTCTGGACATTTCATACAAACAGAGTCATAAAATACAAGGTCCTTATGACTCAGTCCTTTCACTGAGTTAGATGGTTTCAAGGTTCACCAACACTGGCTATTTTCCGTTAGTTTTCTCCTCAGTATCCATCCACTGGGTGTAAAGGGACTAGTCAATGATTGACTATTGCTGGTCTCTCCATACTTACCACTGTCTCTTTTTTGGATCATTTCTTTCAAACAAACTCTAGTTAAAATATCCCACCTCTGAAAGCCTCCAACCCAGTGTCCCCCTCTGGGCACCGGGTTTAGTATTCTTTTTCAGCGCAAACTCCTCAGTAGTGCCTACACTCACTGTCTCCATTTGCTCAACACGTTTTCTTCTTGATGCCTCTTATTTATGTTCTCACTTATCATTCCACTAAAAGGTCATCTGCAGAGGTAACTATGATAGCCAAGCAGCAGGCTCTTTTTCCTCCACACCTCCAGATAGCACTTTCCTCAGGTGCCCCTGGACACCACCCTCTCCCAGGGTCCCACCTCAGTGACAATTCATGCAGAGTTGAACCCAGCTGTCACCTACTAGAGGCCCTCTCGGATCCACTATCTAAACCAATACCCCTCCTCCTTATTCTGATTTTTCTCAAAATACTGTTCTAGTTTATATTACACTCAAATATACATCACAAAAAAATGTGTTCTATCTGATAGAGTACCCTGCCTTTAAGAAACCAATAAAACACTATTTTCTCTGGGATATCTCCCCTGAATCCAAGAGTGCAAAGAAGGGAATTTTTGCACCAAAATATTTTCCAGGTTTCATATAATAAAGTTGATTTGTTACCTTCAGAAAACAAATGTGTGAAGAACACTGCTATTTCTGTGCAGGTGACAAGGGGGTCCTATGATCACTGGTTACATTACAGTGTCCAAACTAAGCATGCCAAGAAATCCTGCCTATCCCAGCTTCAAATTCAGAAGTAAGCATTATACTTTACCCCCTTCTATCTTAACCCCAGATTTACCAAACCCATTCTTCAAATAATCACAAATAATTCTGCAGGCTCAAAAAAAAAATCACTACTTTGCATTATGCCACTCCCTAAATTTTTACTTTATTATTTCATTTCTTATATAAAGCAATATATGGATATATCTCTCTAAACATTGGTTTTGATTGGGACTAGACAAATAGAGTGAAGTTTAGACAGCATAGGGAAACCTCATTGTTCTCTAAAACCAAAGGTGAAGGGGATGACTGCTAGTCAAGATTTAACTAAAAATATGAAACATAAGCCTTATGTATTTTCTTGATACTTATACACTAAAGAGCAAGTGTTGAATTCTGATATGTGAACTATATAAAAACAAAGCTATGTTAAAGTAAAATAAAGCACATTTACTTTATCTAGTAGCTTGATTGCAAGTTCTTCCATAAACAACTTATGAGACATATTTGAGCCATCTAATAAACACAGGAACTTGACAGCACAGATTCTCACATAATGGTCCTCTCTTTTAGTACTAAAAAACATAAAATAAGCGTGTTAAAAAAAATTTACATTTACATAAAAAATACATTGTATTTATTTCAAAATATCATAACAAATATCAAAACCTTCCAAAACTTTGCAAAATTAAGTAGGTCCAACTTAAAATCAATCTTTTCTTAATTCAGGATAACAGGAAAAGATAACAAATGTGCATAGCAGAAGGAGTGCCTGCACAGAAAGCCAGAATGAGCACAATTGCACCCAGTCTTCTGGAAAAACAATTCACACTACTGATCCTGGTCAGTAATACCTGTGGACAAAATAGATCATTGCTTATGAAACTATTACTAAAAGTGGGCCAAGATACATCTGTTCACTCTGGGGAAAGAATATGCATAAACTACCTCAATGGCTTGTCTTTACTGATACTTAAATGTTTGCTCTAAGTAAAAGGTACACTCAGGAAGCACTGTTCTAAGCCTGCTCACATTTTCAGTATCCAGATGTAGGAAGGGCAATTAAGTGAAATTGTTAAGAAGTATTTCTGAAGTTTATTTAACTATTATATTATGACTGTCATTTTAAGAACAAAACATTTGTCTAGTACAAATCAAAGAATTTTGGAACTATTCAAATTTGGAAATTTCACTTTTATTGTGACACTAAACCAGCCAAAACAAAAACTCAATTGAAATGATTAACAATAAATATATATATATATATATATATATATATAAAAAATGGCAAATGATTTAAAACTTAACTATGACTCTCAGAATAGACCCTTTGTGATAACTGTAACTGATTATCATTTGCTATCCTAAACTCTAAAATCAAAGCAAATATATCATTTATGAGCTTCTTTACAAACACCTACAAACACAAATTTTTCTTAATTTCTTAATTTGTAAAACATTTTATATAAATATGAAAACTTTTAGAAAGAGCTGACAAGTTCCAAACAAACTAGAGGTTATAGATAAGGATATTCTTATCCCAGAAATCAAAACTTTATAGGGTCTGTTCCAAGAGAGATTTTATTTTTCTGTCTACCATACTGACACTAAATGGTAAATTTTAGCCAAAAATTGAATATATGTTGCTGATAATCACTCCTCCACCCCAAAACATAGGGGTTTTATATTCCTTATAGTCATATCCTTTTTTATTACAGACTTACTAGCAGGAGACTATAATCTCTAAGATACTTTTGAAGACTCATTCAATATCTTGAAATAGATTATCACTAGTAAACATTTATTAAATTTAACAAATGCACAATTTCTCTCACGTGATGCTAAATTCAAAATATACCATTTACATCAAGACATGGAATATCTACCATACTTACTTTTCAATAACAACATTTGCTGCACAATCATGTCCAAGATTTTCTACGAAGGTCTGAACATCCTGAATAAGTCTTTCCATAAGAACATCAGACAAAGAAAAATAAGTTTTAGACAGGAAAAAAAAAAAGCAAAGCCCCAAATTTAAAGCTAATGCTTTGTATTCTTCTAATTGAAAGTCTCAAAGACATACTTCTACACAAGTAGTATTTAACGTAAGTTTTGACAGGTGAAATAATGACATCTTTTACCTCTGATCACGCCTAAACACAGTTCCAAATATACAAGCCTCAAGGACAAGTTCACTATAATTTTTAGCACTTGATAATGATCCTTGGGACACATTTGAAGCAGAAACTATCCAAGATTGGCAGCAATAATTTATCAGGGTATTGAAGACTCCAGTTTTTATAGCAGACATTTCAATTATCTTGAACATAATCTAGAATGAAATACAAAGGTCATTTACCCTTTGACCAATTTAGTTTCCCCCCCCCCCAAAATTAGTATTGCTAAAAGCTATCACTTGAGTGAACTGAAATGGGGTGGCTGCTTAATGTCTACAAAGTCATAGTTCTCCAAGAAAAGAAAGTACTGGAGATCTGTTACAGCAATGTAAAATACTTACACATTACTGGATGGTACACTTGAAAATGGTTAGGATGGTAAATTTCATGTTCTGAGTCTTATACTCCAATTTTAAAAAGTTACTCCAATTTTAAAAAGTTCAAAATAAAAGTTACCTCTTTTATTTTGAAATATGCCTGGCCCTGGATTTTTGCAGCAATGGTAAGAACTTTGGTGTCAAAAACAAACTGAACAAAAGCTTTCAAATTAGACCAGAATATCAACTGAGTGTTGCTTAAAGAAGATATAATTTTCCAAGCCATGTCAAAAGATTCTATGCAGAGTGACTCAGAGGTGGTCAGAAGCTGGTAGGAAAGAAAAAAAAAAAAAAAGAGTAGAAAATTATCACTTAAGTTCAGAAACTGATTTTCTAGTTTTTCTTCAAAAATTTCATGCTCACTATAGCTTACCTTGGGAACCAAAATTTTCATGCAATGGAACACAGGTAAAACTTGATCAGAAGGAAGAATTGTGAGGGCTTCTAGTGCAAACTGTAAAGTCCTTATGGGCATTTGAACAGCAGGTAAAACAGGTTCCACAATTTTACCCTCTAAGGTTGGTATAAGGGTGTGATATTTTTTCAACAGGAAAGAGAGGCAGACCCACTGATCATGAATATACTGTGCAACTATTTTCCCCCATCCTTGGGAAGATGATGATTCTTCAAAAAAACTGGAAAACAAACAAAAAACCAAACTGAGACAAAAAAATAAAGTCACTACCCTGTCTTCTTTAAGTTTGTCTCAATTCCTTTGCATATAGTATACACGATCCTCATACGGGGAGAGATTAAAGCCGTATTAAATATCCTATCTATCAAAGTAACAGAGAATCCACATATAGCTCAATTTTCTAACCACTGAAAAGTTGATATTTTACTCACTTTAAATGATTCACTGAAAACTAAATACAGAAGTTAATGGGTTTCCAGTAAAAGAAAAAAATAATGTAAAAACATTACCATCCTGAATTCAATCTCATCTACAAATTTCCTTAGTCCTGTAAGTAATACTGGGCAACCACTATCTGAATGACTGAAAAGAAAATGGGATTTTTAAACATTAGCAATAAAAATGCCATTCACAAATATGCTAGATTCAGATGGTGAACACACCTGCTTTGCTCCTCTGTGTGGGGCTTTTGCAGCGTCTGATTGAGTTGAAGAGAGGAGAGGAACCTTTCTGTAGGTCCAGCATCCAGTGAGTCCAGCTGTAGTTCTGACTTCTGGTCAATGGCTTCACACACCATGGCCAGTGAGGCCATACTAACAACCCTCTGAATCTGTCTACCAAGAGTTGGCTCCTGAGGAGGAGACAGACAGTCTTTCATATAATAGAAACAAGTCAGACAGTAAGGAAGTGAGCTGCCAATCTATGGAAATCCCATGCCCTCTTGTCCCTCCTCCTGCTTGATAATGATCATAAAAGGAAATTAATACATGCCATCAGGTTTAACTACTTTTCTACAGACTAATGGAAAATTTAAAGTAGCAATAAAACTTGAAACAGTTCAGACTAAGAAGACAAAATTTGATGTCTTCATTTGCCTGATGTGTTCCTAGCAGTAGTACATGATAGAACAGCTATACACAGAACCACAAACTATATGAATCAATATTTGTGAAGTTTTTCCTACTTGCAAACACATTCAGAGGCAATATTTCTCTAAGTGAGTCTTATTTTAACTGTAGGAGAGAGGAAGAGAGGGAAGGAGGGAAAAGAGGAAGAAGGGAGAGGGGGTAAAGAAGACAGCCTGCCTCCTGGTATATATATAATTAACATCTGCAACCAGCTGTATGCTGCTTTTGAAGAAGTAATACAGCATAGCAGCTAAGAGTTGGACTCATGAGCCACGTGGTCGAGGAGTATATCTTGGCTCCGTACTTACTGCCTGCTTGCCTGTGGACATACTGTGCCTTAGCTTTCTTACCTGTAAAGTGGGAACATAATAGAATCTACTTCACAGGATTACTGAGAAAATTAAACAAATGGGTTATTTCATGGACAGTACCCAGATATCTACATGGAGGAGCAAGAAGGAAGGAAACCAAGATAGCCTAGCTTAATATTTAGAGAAAAATCAACCATCTCTGATCAAGAAGCCAGGAGCTACACTAAGAGACCAAAGCAATTCACTCAAATATCGCCAACCAGGAGGAAACTCACCAGAAAGGAATTTTCTACTATTTGTTCCATACCTTGCCCTTGTCCTCCCAAAATAAATCAAGCATTTCTACACTAAATTTTAAAACAGTGTTACTTTTGAGTCAATGTGGTGAGACAATTAAGGTCAATCTTAATGTATTTCAGTGACTTACTTAAGAAAGCAAGTCAATCTTTAAAGAATCACCATGGTAGGGTTCATGATTTTGGTCTCCATTCAAAATTCAGTGTCCTTTCAAAACAATAGTATACCCATACATCCTAGACAGGATGCCGAAATATAAATCAATCTTCTTTATCATTTTATTTTAAGTCGGTTCTTGAAAACTACTTTAAAAATTATTAAAGCAACCAAGTAGCTCCTTTGTTTTAATGAACATCCTAGACTAGACTAAGATTCACCTCCACTAACCATGTGTTAAATGGAAGCAGGTAACAATTATTGAAGACTTTCTATGTACCAGGCACTGCTAAAGTTTTAACATGTGGAAGTTTGTTTTCATTCTCACATCAACTATTTAACCCTCATTTTGCAGGTGCAGTGATTTCTCCAAGGTCATAGTAAAGATAAAGCCAGGATTCACACCAAGGAAGTCTAACTCCAAAGTTTCTGTTCTTAAACACTATGCTCTACTCTGTCATGTAAAAGAAATGCCTTTATATGCTAAAATCACTCCAAAAATGGTGACATAAGGAGCAACAGGAAAATCAAAGAAAGAATGAGCCACCGAGCAAAGGCAGCCTCTAAGAGAAAATGTGATTTGAATTGGGTCACACAGAACAGACCAGACACTGACAAGTGTGTATTAGAAGGGAGGGCATTTTGGAGAGGGAAGACTAATCTCCATGGCAGCCTTGAGTAACTGTGACACAAAGGGCACTGTAAGAAGAGGAAAAGCAGTGGGTGACTAAGCTAAAAAAATAAAATAGCTTTTTTAATATGTGCCATTCTCACTGGTGTGAGATGGTATCTCATTGTGGTTTCGATCGGCATTTCCCTAATTATGACGGATGTTGAACATTTTTTCATATGTCTGTTGGCCATTTACATTTCACTATCGGATGAGGAGGAATATAGGGGAACCAAATAAGGGATCAGGGACAAAAATAATAACAATAAAAACAGAGCAAAACAAAAATAAACAGTCAACTATAAATCAGAGACATTCTGCAGAGGAGGGGGAGAGAGAGGGGTCAAAACAAGGGAGGGAGAGCACAAAGCACTATGGTGATGATGCACTGGTGATTTGGTAGTGGATATTCTATGGGGACTACACCTGAGAAAAGAAAGCAAAACATTACGGAAAAAATGAACAATGATGTAAAATATATATAAATAAATAATTAAAAATAAATAAATAGGGCCTCCCTGGTGGCGCAGCGGTTGAGCGCTGGGTTGCGAAGCTGCCCGTAGCCTCTGCTGCGCCGGTTCGATCCCCGGCTGCTCCCCGGCCACCGGAGGAGAGTCCCACATGGCGCGCAGACCTCTCCTGCCGCCCGCTGCTCCCCTCAGCAGTGTACTTTGGTCCTTCTGCCTGCTCTGCTCCCCGCTCTGGCTCTGGTGAATTCTCTCACCCTCCCGCGCTTCTGACTGTACCCAGTGCTTGTATAAATAAATAAATCTTAAAAAAAAAAAAAAAAAATACTGAGGGAAAGAGACTTTTAAAAAAAAAAAATAAATAAATAAATAAAATAAAATAGAAGTCAGGTATGAAGGGCTCTGGATGCCAGTCTATGAATTTGAACACAAGGGCAAAACACCCAGTGCAAATCCACTCTCTGCATCTAAGTGATTTTAAGATTGAAGTCACCACACCTTTATTATATACCTCATATTACAATGGGAGTCTCACTCTTCATCAAATATTATGAACACAGGATACTATTTTAGACATTAAATTTCAGTAGATGCTTTTTTGCTATCTAAATGGTATATAACAATCAAATATGTATTCCATGTATGTCTTTTTTAACATAACTACAAGACTTCGATCAAAGAGGATTACCTGTCCACTATTCATCTCTTGAAGATGCTGAATAGATGCATTTTTCAAAGGAGAAATAACTCTCCAAATGGGGTTACCTCTTTTCCACCCAATCTTCAAATGGAGATTTATAAGCTCAGTTAATACCATCAGGTATAAATGGCAACGATCCAGATCTGAAACCTAAGAAAAATAATAAAATACTTAACAAGCATGATCCATGATGTTCACAACAGAGTTTAGAAAGGAAATTATTTCGTTTATTAAAGAGCACTAAAACATGACATTGATGAGGGAAAAAAGGTCCTTCCTTCAAGAAGTCTTCCATACATACAAGAAGCCTTCTCCCCATGCAGAGCTAAGGATGTCCTTCTCTGTGCTGATATAGTGACTCTGCTTGCACCGCAATTATAGCAAGGTCACAATCAACTCATCTGGTCCCCACCTTGATTGTGAGACACTGGAAGGCAGAAACTACATTCTCCCAATCCATGCACCCTAGTGCTAGCACATCATTAACAGTAACAACTATAGTAGTTACCACTTCTTTGTGTCATACATTCTATACTTCATTCTCATAAGAAAGATCACTGTGCCTTTTCCTAAGATGACTAAGTTTCAGAAGAGGCCAAACAACTTACCCAGTATCTCAGAGCTAGTAAGCAAGAAGGGCAGAATTAATACAGGTCTTTCTGAACCAAGATTTAGTGGAACTGGGTTCAATTCACTTCTATTAATTCACTCACCAGCTTTGTGAAAGACAGTAATTAACAACCCTCTTTAGGGTTCAGATTCTTTACCCACAAAACAGGGTAATAACTATCCATCACAGGGTTTTTGGAAAGAAGTGAGAGAAAAGTATACTACCTGACGGACTGGCACAGAGCAGTGACCTTAATTATTATTACTATACCAGTGACTGTACTCTCGGAGGCCTTCTCTGGCACACAAACGTACCATTCATTAACCAGATTTCACTGAGCAACTATGCCAAGTACTAGGATACAACGCACACAGAAGGTACCAAACGCAGATGTCTGACTTGTTAATTCCTGATTTGCAGCAGTTGACAGTTCAGCTATCGTAAATATTTCCACCATGGCCAATTTTTGAGCTACTAGGGTGATGTTTTTGATTGCAGAGCTGGGGAGAGATGTGTAACCTTGTTCTTTTCCCCCTCACCCCTGTTAGCCTCAGATATCCATTAGTGTTTGAAAGTATTTTACATTAGCAAATCACCTGCTATGTAAATGTCTAGTATGTTTTTATCATTCTGACTTACTTTCCCCATTATATGGTCAAAGCTACTTTATCATAGATTAGTTACAGATATGCTTTCCGCAATGTTTACGCCAGTTTAGATTTCCACCAAACAATATAATAAGGTTCTCTTTTTCCACATCCTCTCCAGCTTTTGTTGTTGCAGGTCTTTTTAACATATGCCTCTCCCAGGGATGTGAGATGGTAGGTACCTCACTGTGATTTTAACCTGCATTTCTTATTGGAAGTGATGATGTAAACTTTTTCAAGTGCCTAGTGGCCTTCTGGATATCCTCTTTGGTGAACTGTCCATATCTGCTGCCCAAATGGTTTGTTTTTTGGTTTGTTTTTCATTGTTGAATTTTTTTTTAATATATATATTTATCAATTACATATTGTGTGAATATTATCTACCACAAGGTTTCCTTTTAATGTTATATTTTGTTTTAATTATATCAACTTTTTAATTTGAGATAATCCCAATTGTTTATTTCTGTTTTCATTTTCCTTATCTTAGGGGTCAAGTCAGCAAAAATATCTTTGTTGATGTCATGGGATATATAGCCCATGTCTTCTTCCATGTATTTTACTGTTGAAGGTCTTATATCTAAATGTTTAATTCATTTGGAGTTTATTATTCATTCTTCTATGAGTGCCTTTCCAATTTTCCTAGTACCATTTATTAAAGAGACTGTCCTTTCCCCATTATATGGTCAAAGCTACTTTATCACAGATTAGTTACAGATATGTATAAGGACTGATATCTGGCTTCTGACTCCATTTCATTGATCCATATACCCATCTTTTTGTGCTAAAATATACAATTTATAGTACTGTTGTTTTACATTAATAGTGAAGTTTGAAGTCAGGTAGTATAATACCTCCATTGAGAGAAGGTCCTTAAGATAGGGACTCAAAGCTGTTTCAATGTTCATTGAAAGAATCCAAGAGAAAAGGAGAGGTTGAAAATATTAAAGGATAATCAATAGTATACAGTCCTTGAGAAAATGGAAGAGGATGAAGTCCAGACTGCATTATTCCACTATAATAGAAAAGACAGGGAGGACAATCAGGTGCAGATAAGCATAGAGACATCTGACAGTTGGAAACTGAGGTGAGTATGATGGTTACTAGTTGCTCTGTGAGGTAAAGATATGGCAGCACAGTGCTGGAACCAGCTTGAACAGCAAAAACTACAGTTTGTTCCTCTCTCTGATCAATGGCTTCATGTCGGCCAAGTTGAAATGAGGGCAGGAAACTGATGAACACTACAAATCAGGGCTGCACCCAACCCCACGGCCAGCTGTTAAACTCTGACCATCTGGGCCTCCTCAGTGGCGCAGCGGTTGAGCGCTGGGTTGAGAAGCTGCCCGCAGCCACTGCTGCGCCAGTTTGATCCCCGGCTGCTCCCCGGCCACCAGAGGAGGGTCCCACATGGCGCGCAGACCTCTCCTGCCGCCCGCTGCCCCCCTCAGCAGTGTACTTCGGTCCTTCTGCCTGCTCTGCTCCCCGCTCTGGCTCTGGTGAATTCTCTCACCCTCCCGCGCTTCTGACTTTACCCAGTGCTTGTATAAATAAATAAAAATAAATCTTAAAAAAAAAAAAAAAAACTCTGACCATCATCACACTACTGAGATGAGGGAAAATGTGGGAAAAGATTTTCATTAAACTATAAGCTATTAAAGAAATGTACTTAACCAGGAATTCTAAGGTGCAATTTATTAAAGAATGAATTTTTCAAAATAATTTTAAGTTACATATGTTGAATTTACTTTTTAAAATATTTGCATCTAAAAGATAAAATAACAATAAACTTGCCCTTCTTAAGCTATTTTAGCTGCAGATTCCAAACAAGCAAAAACATTTCTGTTACTTAGTAGGCACATAGAGATTCATTACACTTTTGTGAATGTCTGAAAATTTCCATATTTAAAAGGTAAAAATAATACTGATGATCCTGGAGCAAAATAAACCATAAAAGTTTCCTAAGAGTTTCTTTGTTAAATACCTTCTTGGAAATTCAGGTGTTGCAGGACTGCTACTAACAATTGCTTAATAAGAAGCAAGCCAAACACTCCCTGTTCCATAGGGCTTTTTCTTACCTTCCTATCATAATATCACAAGTCTTTGAGTATAAAACTTGTCTTTTTATATTTTAATACCTACTTACCAGCTAGCAAACAAATGTACTTTATTTGGTATTCTAATAATATTTTAAAAAGTATATTTTCTCACTTTATCAATGATCCATTGACTCTAATTGCTTCATTATATCCCACTAGAGATTTCAACTTGAAAAAAAATTAAAATAGGCATTTCTGTAGAAATTAGTATTTTCAAAATATTCTTAAAGAGGGAAACTTTTATTATTTTTTTCCAGCTATCTTAGAAAGAATAAATAATGTAAAGAATAAAGAAAGAGAACATAGCTACATTTACAAAGCATCCTCTTTTCCTCAGACCTACTGTTTCCAATCCTAATTGCATTTTGGAATCACTCAGAGAGCTTTAAAAATACACTGTACTGATACTTGGTCCTACCCTAAATCTGCCAAGTCAGAATCTGGGACCAAATAAGCTAAGTATTTAAAATATGGTATATTATTTGAAACTCTCTAGATACTAGGAAGTAGGTGAATTATCTCAATTTTGCAGGTAAGGAAACTGAGGTTTATAAAAGCTACACAACTTTTCCAAGGTCACAGTTATTACAGAGATGAACTACTACTAAGAAAGTCTTAAGTTTTTATTTTTTCTGCTTCCTAAGACCAAAAATTAAACCATAACATTAAGGTAATTTTCTTTTTAATTTAACACAGTGTCTACCATCACTCAAATATTGATGAAATATCAATATTGATGAAATATCACTCAGATGAATACTTACACTACTTAGCTCATTCATAGTAAGTCTTCTGAGAATAAATTCAGAAATGCTCTCTGTGGTAGACATGGCAAAGTTCTGAAGAAGTGTAAATACCTCATCTGTATGGAGAAAAAAGTACGCAACTGAAATTACAGAAATAAATTATTTGGTGCAAAATAAAACAGATGTCTAGTAAAAATACAACTGTTAAACACATGGCAAATCACTTATCAAAAACAAATTCTAATGATGTAATTAACAGTCAATAGCATAGGGAAATCTATAATTAATCTGAAAATTCTTTTAGGAATTCTGGTGCTGGGTAAGATGGAACAAAGACACAGCACCCTCTCTCACTGAATGCAGCTATAAACCCGGGACAGAATATTTGATGCAGCTATTTGAAGACTCTAAAAGGTAAAAGATAGCAGGCAGCTTTAGAAAGGCGGTACACTGAGTTTATTCTGGTCCTCCTGCAGACTGGAATCAGATCAGGAACAGTCAATAAAGCAGGCAGCAGAATGGACCCTAACTTTCTGGTCAGAGAATGAAAAAGAAGAATCCCAGGGAAGAGGACAATGAGTATTTTGGAGATTCCAGAGAGGGAAGAGTTCAGAAAAATGCTCCTGAGCTTACTCCTTAGCTATTGCGTAATGAATCTGCTACCAATTAGCATACCAATGACTTTGAGAAGTGAACAGTGACAACTGCCCTGGACCCAGACTGGCCACAGGATGTAACCCATGTGCCATAGGTAAAGATGGCACTGCAAAGTACTTGAAAACAATATTGACAGTGGAACCAACCCCCACAAAAGCAATAGATTTATCATCTAGTCTTATGGCTTTAAATACCATCTATATGCTAACAATTCTCAAATCTCTATTTCTAATCCACATTTCCCCTGAATTCCAGACTCATAAAGTCAAATGCCAACTTAATAACCTCACTGGGTCACCTAAAAGGTGTCTTACACTTAAACTATCCAAAACAGATCTTCTCATCTTCACTCCAAAATCTTCTCTAACTCTAGTCTTTCTAATCCCAGTTAAAAGCAACTCCATTCTCTCCAGCATTCCCCAAAACTAAGTAACCTTTGAGTTCACTCTTTTTCTCACTGTCCATATGCAACCTGCCAGCAAATCCTGTAGGCTGAACCATCAAAAGACTTCCGAAATCTTACAATTCACAATTCACGAAATCCATGGCTCGTACCCAGTACAGCCAGCTTGTCTTCTGGCCTTGGCCTTTACCTCTCTTAGTAGATTTTTCTCAATACTAGTGACTGAGAGTCAAAGTGAGCTTTTAAAAACTTAAGTCAGATCTTATTACTCTCAGTTCAAAATCTTCTAGTAAAAGCCAGAACCTTAAAATGGTCCACCAAGTTCTATACAAGAGTAGCCTTTACCCTCGCCCCTTTTTTTTAAAATTGATCTTTTATTGCTCTCTACTTCACTCCCTCCTCAAACAGATACTCTCACTCTGGGGCCTTTTCCCCTTGCCATTCCTTCTTCCTGGAAGATCTCCCTATGTAAGTGTACTGTTCCCTCCCTCAGATCTCTCAAGTCTTTGTTTAAATATTAACTTCACAGTGAGGCCTCCCCCAACCAACCTAGCTAAATTAATGATGCTCAACCTCTACTCACCAACATCCTGTCCTAATTTCTCCATAGCACCTGACAAAATCACATATCTTATATAGTGATTGTTTATTATATCTCTCCCGCCCCAACCCCACTCCAGTCCCCTAAAACAGAATGTAATCTCAAAAAGGGCAGGGACTTTTTGTCTTCTTTTTTATGGCTACATCCTCATGCTCAGAACAATGTTTGGCATGTAGCAGATAATCAATACATTTCTGATGAATAAATTTTCTAATATCAGATCAAAAGGTCTTCTCTAATCTCCCTCTACTAAGACTTAAACTTTTTTAAGACTCAAGAATCAGCTTAGTAATTGTCACAAGTTAAAGGAAGTGGATGGGGGAAGCATCTAACCATATACTTTCCACACTCACTTCCCTCACCTTGCTTCTTTTCTCCCCATGTATCTCCCAAGCTTTAGTATTTTTTTCTATTAAAAAAAGGGAAAAAGGGCAGGACAGCGGAAAAACACAATAGTTTGTATTCTCTCAAAAAGACACAAGAATGACAGCATGTTGAAGTGATGGTTACATGAAGATTTACTAGAGTCTCTATTTCTTTTTGTATATTTAAAGCTTTCCCTAATAAAACACTGAAAATTAAATTTAAAAAATTTTTAACATTAAGCTTAAGTTGCCCCAAGCAACAGCATACTACTAGACCACAATTTCACCCACTGAGTAAGTACATCCAGATATTTCTGACTTCACCATTATTTGTTCATTGACCCTACCACCAGTAATTAGTTCCCAGATATTCACTCATTTATAAAAAGGAAATAACAATTTTCCTCTTCCCTCATCAAAGAAATTCTTTCAGGATTAAGATCTATTTAAAGTTAATTAAACCTGATATGGTTTACCAGTTACATGGAAGTCAACTGCTATGAAAATTAAATGGCACTTCTTTGACTCTTGGTAATATAAAAAGATATGCATGAGGAGCACTGAGAACTCTTACATTTGTAAGTAAGAACATAAAACGTGTACATAACTACTTAGAAAAACAATTTTGCATTATCTTATAAAGCTGAATACACACATATCCTAAGATCCAGTAACTTTAGTGGTGGGAGGTAGATAGCCTGGAGAAACACACACTGACCCAAAAGAAATGTAAACAAGTAATCATGGCACACCATACAGAATAATAAACGAAATGTAATCCAACATCCAGCAACAGAAAAAGCATAGATTGTGGTGTTGTCATACCATGAAAGATTACACAATAGGTAAAATAATGAGGTATAAGAAAGGACATGGATGAACCTTAGAAACATGCTGCATGAAAAAAAGTTACAGAAGACATCTTACAGTATAGTAACATTTTTATAAAGTGCAGAATCAGGGACTTATACAATATATTGTTGAGAAGTACCTAAATATGTGGTAAAGCCATTTTTTTAAGTACATGGAAATGATAAAGATAAAAATAAAAATAAGCAAACAAAAAAGGGATTAAGAAATAACTAGTACATTTGCTTTTAGGTTAGTGGTGAATTTCACAAGTGTTTAATTATTTTGCAGCAAAACTGACATCCAGCCATCACACATGCTTATGTGTATCAAACAGCACAAATTTTCAAAAAGCATTCCTGACCCAGTCCTACACTTCAAAGCACTAAGTCTCCTGAAAACAGTTAAGACAATGTCAAATATCTTACACCCATAAGGGGTTGAAAACCTTATGAAAAGATACTGTTATGTGCATAGATTAATTCTGCTACCATTATCAAAACTATCAGAAACTAGTGTTAATATTGCATAAGCTTATTATTAAAATCTAACCAAGTCAGTTTAACCTAATACCAGTACCTCTCTAAAATTTTTAAATTTAAATTTTTTAAAGTTCAAAATATAACTGGCTAGAAAGGACAGGGGAATCAACACTTACCCATCAATATTTTCATCATCTCTAATGTCCTCTGGGTTTTCACCTACTATTTTACATATAAGAACAAACTCAGTATTTCTATTACCGGTAAACTTTTTTTATTTTTTAAGATTTATTTTTATTTATTTATACAAGCACTGGGTAGTCAGAAGCGTGGGAGGGTGAGAGAATTCACCAGAGCCAGAGCAGGGAGCAGAGCAGGCAGAAGGACCGAAGCATACTGCTGAGGGGAGCAGCGGGTGGCAGGAGAGGTCTGTGCACCATGTGGGACCCTCCTCCGATGGCCGGGGAGCAGCCAGGGATTGAACTGGCGCTGCAAAGGCTGCGGGCAGCTTTGCAACCCAGCGCTCAACCGCTGCGCCACCGAGGAGGCCCTTCCGCTAAACTTTCTATATGAAGTATTTTCTACCAATAAAGCACTCAGAGATTAGCATTTAAAAATAATCAAATTAGGGCCTCCCCGGTGGCACAGCGGTTGAGCGCTGGGTTGTGAAGCTGCCCGCAGACTCTGCAGTGCCGGTTCGATCCCCAGCTGCTCACCGGCCACCGGAGGAGGGTCCCACATGGCGCACAGACTTCTCCTGCCGCCCGCTGCTCCCCTCAGCAGTGTACTTCGGTCTTTCTGCCTGCTCTGCTCCCCGCTCTGGCTCTGGTGAGTTCTCTCACCCTCCCGTGCTTCTGACTGTACCCAGTGCTTGTATAAATAAATAAATAAATAAATGAATGAATGAATGAATAAATAAATAATTAATTATTTTAAAAAATAATAATAATCAAATAAAAATAATCAAATTAGTACCATTCTCATAGTTCTTTCTTACACATGAAACCGTGATCATTTCTGATGGTCTGGGAATCAATGAGTGAGTATAAACAAAAAAATATAAAGCAAATGAAAACACATTCAAAAAATCAACAATAACCAATGAATATAAACACTAGACTGGCAGGTTTATGAGGGCAGGGGTTTGAGCCTTCACTGCTGTATCCCCAGTAACACCAGGTGATACTCAATAAGTACTTGAATGAATGATGAATGCATGAAATAGCCTTTTTATTTGTAAAGGTCAGGAGTTTCCTCTTATTCTAAATATCAATGATATACCAAGCAAGATACCAACAAAAACTATTTATCCTCACCATCTTGGGTACTGGAACCTTTCAACAAGCAAGTGTGCAATAACTTCAACAGCAATTGGAGGCATCTGTCAGTTTTCAGCAAGGGCATGTAGGCATTTGTACCAAACTTCATAAGGGCATCCAGAAGAGGATCTAAGAATATCCTCAATACATTCTGTGTTCTCCGCTTTTCACTAGATATTAAAAGACATGCCCAAATCAAGCATTTCAAAAGCATGAAGAAAGTACTTTCCATGTACAATTTGTGGAACTGGTTAGCTAATGGATTCAATTATCAATAGAAAGACTGAAAGACCTATCACTTGTTAGGACTGATCTTTCCCACCAATCTTCTTACTGACCTTTCAGTTTGTGCTTTCTCAGTGAGTTTATCAATTCACTAGAGAGAGGAAAGCACAGAGAAAGACATTCTGGACTCAACTCTAGACACAAGTATGAAGGAAATCCTATATGAAATTTACCTGCAAATAAAAATGCTAAGACCCTGCTTCCATAATTCAAAAGAAAAAACACATACACAAGTCAAGAACATGAGACATTAACTAAAAAATATGAAAAAATTAAAGATTTATGAAAAATTTTGAAAACCAACTTCAGTACTAAAACTGTCTAGAGATTTGATGTTAATCAAATTAACTGCATATTATGCAAATACAGTACCTAATGAAGCTGCTTTTTTGCTACAATTATAATCTAATGAGAACTAATATATTCACATTCTCTAAATATGAGATTATTTTATTTTGATTACCTGATTTTTAGTAACACATTTTGGAAAGGGGTCAAACCCAGCAAATTTCTCTACTTAATCTAATGGGATAGTCTCTTACAACCCATTCCTCTAATATTTTTATATAAAACCAATGATTAGTATGTAGTTTTTTTAACCTTCTCTAGCTTAACAATTTAACTTATGTAAAAGAACTAATAAGCCTTTAACTCTATGGATTTATTGTCAATTTTAAACATTTCTTTAGTATATTGCATATAGTTAGCACCCTTCTTTAATACACTGTTATCAATTCCACACCAGTCACTGAAAAGTCTGCATATGTACCATATATCTGAATAGACTTTTTTTTTTTTTAAAGAGCTTTCTTTTCAAGCTAGAAACACTTACCTATATTGATTCTTCATTGCTTCCACATCAACAGCCAGTAAGACCATCATAGCAACAAGCTTGGCTTCAAACCAATCAGGCATAAAGCAGTTTTCTCCTGCTTAAATAACAGATAAGGTTTGCAAGAGATTAACATAACCCTGCAAAGATGATGTCTCAAGCTGAAGAGCTAAATGATTATCTTTACCAATATTAAGTTATTAGAGAAATACAGCTGAGGTGGAACCCAATGGAACTGGGCTGAGTCTGAGGCTGAGAAAAACGGAGAAAGGTGAAGGAAGAGCATGGCTAAGGTTTTCTGGTTCTTCTGGCAGGAAAGAGCATGTCATGTTCCAGGAAAGGGAAGAATGCTCCTATGGCTGGGGTACACAAGTGGGAGCACCAAAAATGAGGTTACACAAAAAGGTAGAGGAGAGATGGGCATTTGTAGGCTAGGTAAAAAATTTCTACCTTTATCCTAAAGGCAAGAGGAAGCCACTGAGGGTGAATATGAATGTATACATAGAAGGGGAAGAGAAATTTTAAGATCAAAATTTATATTTTAAAAAGATTTCTCTAGGTAACATGTGGAAAAGACAGGGGAAGCAAGAGCAGATGCAAGGTGACTATTAAGGGGCAACACTAATGTTTCAGCTGACAGATGTGTGCTCCCTCAAATGTGAAACATAAATGAAAGGGAATGATACCGATATGGATATAAGTAAGGCTTTGGCGTCTCACACCTGCATTTTTACCACAGTCTTACTGTTTGTTTACTGTGGGACTCTGGACAGCCATAGCATCTCAGAAAGTTTAGGTCATCTTCTATGAAATCAAATCAATAAACCTATGACTTGCCTTGGATATATTATACAAGTTAAAAAATATATTCAAAGTTCCCAGTACAAGTTTTGGAAGCGAGAGCTTGGCTCACAAATAAAATTAATATTTTCCTGTCTCTGAAAGCCAATTAAATTAAATCATGGATAGATTTCTTTATCATTTGTGGTAAATTACTAGAGTAAGATTAAACTCTTCACATCAACTTCCAAGAAAAATTTAGGTAAGAGATTTAGTTTTCTGGTCCAGTGGTTCAAATACTAAAAACATTTAAAAAAAAGAACTTAATATATTTTGGGGATAATTTAATCTATTTTGATACAAATTTATTGAAACAGTACAAATGACAGGCAACACGAAAGATACTTGTATACAAGATAATTCATGTTAAAAATATGAAGATAAACTTTATTATATATTATTTTTAAAAGTACTATGCATTTAGTTATCAATTAGATATATGCTTGTATTTTCTAAAAAAAAATCCACATGTTGGCTTTATCAGAAAAAATTAGTAGGTTAAATTTATAAGTGTTATAAAGGGAAACTATTGAAACTTGTGCTTGAAACATTTTTACTCACACTAATGCTTTATATTCCATACTTACATTAAAAACTCATTCATAAATGAAAACTAAAATGGTATCAAATGCCAATAGACTTGATTTCCCTATATTTTCATCAGCAATCACATAGTCAGGTGCCGTCTATTATCAGGTGACTACTTCATGGAAGAAGGGTGCGGATGGTAGGGGTACTGAGTATGTAATGCTTCCAATGGCAGTAGTACTTTAGCATTGTCTCCACCTTACAGCAAATTGGCTGTTAAGTCCTTGGCTGTAAATACTACACACCTTAATATAGATTACACACATGCTTAGGGGGCCTTCAAAGTGCTTAACCAGATATATCTCACTTGCCTCCAGCAAAGCACCAAAAGCAGGGTTCTAGAAGCACAGATCTTTTGAAGTCCTAAGCAAATTTTCACCTTGGATATGGAAAAGGTTGCCAATAAAAAAGGTTAGTAGATTTTTAACAATTTCTGATTTCAAGGGGTGCCACAGTACCAAACCAATGACAAGAGAGGGCCTATTCTTCCAGTAGAGAACACACTTGTGCAAGAAGTTTTGGTTGTAGGTTGCTTCCCAAGTATTTTACCACCATATAAGTAAATCCATGCTACAGAGGAGAGGGTCTCAATCCCCAACACATGTTAAGAGTCACCTGCAGGGCTTGTTAAAACACAGGAGATGAGGCCCACACTCAGAGTTTCTGACAATAGGTTAGAGACAGAGCTCAAGAATTTTGATTTCTAGGGGCCACCCTGGTGGTGCAAGGGATTAAGAACCTCACTATGAAGCAATCTGAAGCCTCTGCAGCACGAGTTCAATCCCCAGCCAGCCAGGGAGCTACCCACACAGTGGGGCAGACCTCTCCTGGCTGGCCCGCTGCTCCTCTCAGCAGTGTTTCAGTCAGTCTGTCTGTTCTGTTTCCCACTCTGTCTCTGGTGAATCCTCTCACCCCACCGCAACTCTGGCCTGTACCCCAGCTCTTGTATGCATAAATAAATGAATCTTTAAAAAAAAAGTTAAAAAAAAAAAGAATTTGTCTTCTGAAGCTTCCAGATGATGCTGGAATGCTGCTGGCCTGACAACTACTGTCTGTGAACTCACTGGCAGAGAATTCCTTACTTATGCTCCCTTTTCTCTCACTGAAGTAAGAAAAGTGCAGGTAATGTTGGTTTTGAAGAGACAAAACGCTATCATTAATCATCTTAATGCAATTTTAACCCGAAGGCACTAAATTTTGCTACCACGAATTCTGAAAACTGAGTGAAATTTTAGAAAACGCAAACTACAGTGCCAGAAATCATATCATGTTTTACATTCAGATGGAGAAGGAAGACAGAGATTATAAAAAAGGTATGAAAACATTTTGCAGGGTGACAGATATATGTCCATTATTTTATGTTGATGGTTCCATAAGCAACATAGCCCAAATACCCATTCCATAGTACAGTTTAAATATGTGCAATATAGCATGTCAATTATGCCTCAATAATGCTGTTTTTAAGATTTGCTATACAGCTGCAATATACTACACTTTGAGGTTATTCCATATCTTCAGATGTCTTGGTTACATTTTTAGAAGGCACATTTAACCATAAGATTTCTATACAAAATATCTTTTGTCAGGTACTGTCTCAAGTATAAATTTCTTCTAATATATTTCACAGTTGGTTAGTCTTAGTAATTCCAAACTCTCACAAGTCATTACTGCAGTTTCCACCTTCTCTAATTCAGAAATCCTGCTCTGAAAGCTCTTTAACACTTTCATGGTTTTTGCTGTTGTTGTTGCTTTGTTGTTTTATATGTATGATATGGAATACATGCATACCCCTCATATCCACCTTTATCTCTTACCATTGCAACATAGGCTCCACGCCATATACAGACAGATGGATGCCTACCTACTTTCAGTTCCTGGGTGGGAATACATCCCAGCCTGCGGGATACTCTTTTGCACTTTTCACCTTATTTTCTACTCATTTATCAGGTGTCACTCCACCTGGTGATTTCCCAGTCCCACACAGGTCTGCCTGTTCTAGATAGGTACAGCTCACACAGGTTCTCCTCCCCACCCCAGTACTTAGGTCTTTCAAGGTAGAACACTAGGATTATCTGCCTACTGATTAATTTCTTTGCTTGATTGATTATGTTCTCTGTAGGGGAAGGTAATATTTTTTTTTTTATCTCTGCAACTCCAATATCTGGCACCTAGAAGACATTTTTGCTGAGTAATAGTGCAAAACATACATATCAAAACTCAAAGAAAAAGCTATTTTGGATGTAGACTTTTTATTTTTTATTTTTGTGTAGAACTGAGGTATAGGCCAGAGGTGTGGGGGTAAGAGGATTCACCAAAGACAGAGTGGGAAGCACAACAGGCAGATTTACTTAAATACACTGCTAAGGGGAGCAGCAAGTTAGACAAGAGAGATCTGCTGCACCATGTGTGGGTAGCTCCCTGGCTGGGGATTGAACTCGGGCCACAGCGGTGACAGCACTGACACTTTACCCCTAGGCCACCAGGGAGGCCCAGATGTAGACTCTGACTGACAACTGTGTTTTGGCTGAGGAGTATATAGAAACAAATGTGACTACTGTATGTATTTTGTGCTTAAAAACTCAAGCTAAATAACGTCTGTTTTCAAATTTATTAATTTGTTCTATAAATGGCCCAGTAATTGACTAAATTAAAATTTTACAAAGGCATTTTTAATGCCATTGGCATTAAGTCAAACAAAAATATTAAAAATGCACACATAGATATCTCCTTTGCACTGAATTTTTAAAAACTTAAAATAATAGCATATTTAAAATAGTATATTTTTAAGTCCTAGAGGTGTTAAAGAAACTCTAAAAATCTTGTTTCATCCAATTTTAAATATTTAATCATATTTCATGCTGTTATATATTCTAAATTATAAAGACAAGTTCTACATATTTTTAAGAAATTTAATCGTTTACTCTGCAAGGACTAAAACATATTTACTTTTTATAGGGCTAACGACGCTTCAAAGTAACATCGCAGAAAATTTACTGAACAATAGAGAGTAAAAACACAGAGAAGTGCTCTCAGTAGGATGAACAAACTCATGTATTTTGGATGGATAATTATCTAATCATTTAAGACCTATTCCATGATCAGATTAGAGAAATCAGTAGATGAAAATTACTTGGTCTGAGACAAAGCTAGGAAATTTAAGACAAGTTAAATTCAAAGATGCAATTTACCCACATTATCACTAATGACTTTAATGAAGAAGCATTAGAAATGTAAAAAGAATCCTAATTAATGAATCTGCTAATAGTTCTTCCCTCATGCAGTCTTACACATTTTCCCAAAGAAGTTGCACAACCAATGTTTGCAAAGTATCAGATGAAAAGAAAAAAACTAGCAAAACCACACTTTCAAACATAATTTTTCTCTAAAATTATTTTTTCATAAACAGATCACACCAAATGTAATGCTTGAAAACAAACAGAACATAGACAGACTTATCTATAAAAATTTCCTAGAATTTCCAAAAGCACTTATGAATTATATAGCCCACCAAAATTTTCTGGAATGTTGAAAAAAATTAATACATTTATTTGTGTCCAAATTCTTTTGCTGGCAATTTATTAGTTTTTTAAAACACACAAAATAGTTTAAAATCTCAAATCGGGCCTCCCTGGTGGCACAAGGGGTTAAGCACTGCACTATGAAGCAATCCGCAGCCTCTGGGGCATGAGTTCGATCCCCAGCCAGCCAGGGAGATTCCCACATGGCAAGGCAGACCTCTCCTGCATTGCCCGCTGCTCCCCTCAGCAGTGTACTGCGGACAGTCTGCCTGTTCTGTTCCCCTCTCTGTCTCTGGTGAATCCTCTCACCCCCTGCACCTCTGGCCTGTACCCCAGCTTATATGCATAAATAAATAAATCTTTAAATAAAATCTCAAGTCCTAGAACAGATAAAGTACAAATTAAGAAACAGTATTTTTCTGAAATTCACATATTTGGCTGAAATACTAATTAACCATCAATAAATTGGCATATATTTGAATATGCATATACCTAGATTAAAAAACAGTTCTTCAAAAAAAAAGTTCTTCAAAAATATTTTGTTTATATCAATCCATTAAAATGATATGACTTACTTTCCCAAGCAGGTGACTTAATATATTCTTGAACTAAGTTCTTTACATAAGCATTTAAAGAAGATGTCTCATGAAGTCCAATGGAGCTACAAGTTGAGGATCGTATAAAACAGTTTTCATTAACACGTAACCAATCACAGAGCTAGAAAAGAAAATAGTTATTACTTTATTTTAAAAGCCTAACTGAAAAAGGATTTCTAATTTCCCAAAGCCAATTTTCTTTCTTCTACAATTGAATTTAAATGACTTTTCAGTTATTTATTGTCATGTTAAGTTCCACAGACAGTACAGACAAAACACATATGTGTATATATAATACACATACACCTACACATGTATGTGTTTTGTAATCTCCCTCAAAGAATTTAAAAACTTCATTAAGAAGCAAGAATTTTTAAAGGTTCTAAGATAAAATGCATTTTTGATAAGGTATTCTAAATAACATTTCTGTAAAAAATAATACATTATGCAACTCTTAAAACAATTTTAAACTTCATTTTAGCCTCACATACTAAAATAAGGATGTTTATTCTTAAGAGAATGTAGATCTAAAATACAAGTTATAATTAAAGTTCTTACATACCACACAAGTCTATTTCTCTCATAATATGTGTATTTTGAAACATCATTTAAAAGAGAAATACTGTCCGAATTCTTCTCCATTGTATCTTTAAAAAGATTTGTGAAACTAAGTCACAGAATTTCACAGAATCTTTGATCACGTAATTATGAATTGTTTGGAAATTTAATTATGTTCTCAATTTTTTTAATCTCTTAATGTGCAAATTCAATATATGAATTTAAATATAATTACAAAATGAGTCTAAGAAGCAACAATTAAAAATGCATGTTTTGCATCCCTTATGGTCATCCAAAATTAAGTATAAAATAGTAAGATATCACACATGATGAGAGACAAAAATGATGATTAAATGAATCAGTCAATATGAAAACTGACATCCCATAGGTATCTATAAATAACAGTTAAATAATAAAGGAAATTATTCCATGTAGATCTTTATCAAGCAAGATAATCTTAAAATACAATCTGAATGTAAGGTTATTAGCAAGTATTTATCTTTCAACAATATATGCTTTTTCTTTATATACCACTCAAAATGGTCAGGCTAAGTTTCCCAGTTTTGCTAGAAAATGTGAGGTTTTCCAAATCTTGTATTTCCATAAGCATAATCCTATTATAACAAAATTATAAATTCATATTTGATTTTTCTATCAAATCTGTTATAAAAAATTCAGAATATTTTTCTTCCCAAGGGTTTTCTTGTCAACCTTATGGTTTAAACTAGCACCTAATGAGCAGTCTCTGGGAAACCGATTCTCTTGATTTTCCATTAAAACACACCTCAAGAGTCTATTTGGAGACAAACAAAAGAATGAGAAGCCACAGATGGAGAAAATATTTGTACAACACACAACAGATAAGGGACTGATATCCAAAATATACAAATAACTCTTAATATAACAATAAGAAAACAAATCACCCAATTAAAGGGGTTAAAAACTCTACCTCACCAGAGAAGGTAAACAGATAGCAAATAGCATATGAAAGATGTCCCACATCTTATGTTACTAGAAAACTGCAAACTGAAAAATGAGACAGCACTACATACCACCAAAGGCTGAAGATTCTGTGGGGCTCAGAAACTCTCATTCACTGCTGGTGGGAATGAAAAATGATACACAGACTCGGGAATACAATTTGGCAGTTTTTTACTCTTACTACACAATCCAGCAATTGTGCTCAGTGTTATTTAGTCAAATGAGCTGAAAACTGTATCAACACAAAAACCTGTATATGAATGTTTATAGCAGCTTTATTCATAATTGCCAGACTTAAAAGCAACCAAAATGTACTTCAGTAATTGAATGCATAAACAAATGGTGGCACACCAAGGTAATGGAATAGTATTCAGTGATAAAAAGAAATGAGCTATCAAGCCATGAAAAGATAATTATTATTTAGTGAAAGAAGCAAACTTGAAAAGGCTTCATGATACATGATTGTAACTAAATAACATTCTGGAAAAGGCAAAACTATGAAGACAATAAAAAGATCAGTGGTTTGCCTTTTCTGGTTCATTAAACCAAAGGGAAAAGACTGCTAACAAACCAAGTAATAGTAGGTACTTACATCTGATTTGGTCTAAGCATAATTTGAGACATTTGTACATGCATTTTCTCACTTAAACCTCACACACCATACCATATGCTATATAGTAAAATAAAATCCAGATGGATTAACCAATTTATAAACTCTACATATCCAATGAAATGAATAGGCTTTATATAGATACTTAGACAAAGTTGAATATCTGAATATACAAAGTGCAAACAACAAGCAAAAATAATGTTTATTACACAACTGAAGAAATTTTAACACTGGTTATTTGAAATCAAGAAATTTAATATTTCTAGGTGTAATGAGGACCAATTTTTAGATTCTTAAAAGTCCACATCTTACAGCAGTACATGCTGAAATACTTCTAGATAAAAATACCCAGAACAAAAATCCAGTAAAATGAATTGATTTAATAAATCCTAAAATATTTAATTAACTGAATTTTTAAATATCACATATTGAAGAATTGCTCAGCAACATGCTAAAATATATGTGAAGATAAAATTCAAAATAGTATAATCATTATTTTGTTCAGAAATGTGTTAATAGATCATTTTAAATATATAAATATAGCAGGAATGAGGATACATATATTCAAAAAATTGAGAACTAAATCAAAATATATGGGATTTAGTTTGATTGTAGACATCACAGTAGATTTCTTGATATAGCTACATGTTTTTCAGATGCTACATAGATGCACTATGAAAAAATAAAACAAAATTCTAATTTTTAAAGGCCTCAATTTGCCCCTTCCTCATTCCCTCTGCCATTAATATACTCTAAGCCCTCATTTATTTTATGCCTGAATTATTTTAAGGCAGTCCAAGCTGCTTCCTCTTGCTTCTCTCTCTCCGTGTGTGTGTGTGTGTGTGTGTGTGTGTGCCAGAATGTCTTTTAAAAGAAATAATCACATCCCTAGCCTCAGTGATGTTCATAGGCACTGGAGAAACACACACACACACACTCTCTCTCTGTCTCTCTCTCTCTCTCTCTCTTCCTGTCCTCAAAAAAACTATATAACAGAGGACACAGATAAGAATTCAGTCAAGTATATAAGGATAAAAGCTAAAATTAGAGCATGAGTTAAGTTCAATGGTTTAAAACAAAACAAAAAGGAAGAAGCAGCAAACTACAAATGTCCCACAGAGAAGAGAGGCACCATCAGACCATAATCGAACTTGAAGGCCCTGACATGTAGGTGGGACAGTGCAGCAAGACCAGACACTGGTCTGACACAGGAAAGAAGGCATCATAGGAGAAGCACTAACAGAGGATTTCTACTAGACCAATGGCTGGAAAAAAAAGACAGACATTTGGGATTGATAAATGAGAAGCATAAAGTTGGAAGAAATACAAATTGCCAAAATGTCAGGTTTGGGCAACTGGGTAAATGACAGTTTCATTAACTGACAGAAAAGAGAGAAAGAAGAGGTTTCTGTTACTTACTCTCTTCGAGACTTTCATCTAGAACTGAAATCTGTTTATATTGCAAATATTTTCCAACCTCCAACTACTCCACAAGAATCTTAGTAGTTGGATAAAGAAATTGTGGAATATATACTCAACGGACTATGCTCAGCTATTAGAAAAAGGTGACACAGTGCCTTTTAGGATAAAATAGATTTATCTTGAGATGAGTGTGCTACATGAAATAAGTCAGGAAGGAAAGATGGGTACTAGTTATTTGTGGAATATAAATAACCAAAAAGGCATACTGCTAAGCACAGCAAAAATAATTCTTAGACTTAGTGAAAAATATACTGTTTTTCAGAGGGCATGGAGGAAGGGACGTGGGGGAGGGGATAGGTCATATGCATGGGAGTATTGATGGAGGATAAGGGAAGCATGTGTACATGTACCCCAAGTTATACAGATGTATAAACAACTGAAAAAATAATAAAAAATTTTTTTAAAGATTCTTAATAGCACTTCACATTATGTTGACTCAGTAAATATATAATAAAAATATATATTCAAAAATATCTGTTGATAACAATCACTACATAAATGGCTTGTAATGAATTAAGATAGAAACAATTTGTCATAAAGTTTTCAAACATCTTTTCATTACATTAACTTCATTCTTACCTCTGTCCACAATGAAGTTCCACGTGCTAAAGACTCCTCTTGTCTCAGAGACATGAGAAAAGTTGAGACATCAGAAAATGACACTTTTTCCTGAGGATAGGATAGTTTTTTGAATTTATTTTTAAGTTTTAAATTGAATGAGATGACTGTAAAAGCAATCTAGTATACTATTTGAAGTAGAATATTATTGGCTAAAGTAAAAGAAAGCTATTTTTAAGAAGCAAATCTTCAACTTTTAAAATGAAGCTACTGATTACATATAAACAAAAACATTATATAAGGTGAAAGATTATTTTATAAATCTATTTTCCTTAAAATCAAAGTTGCCATCTTAGAGATAAGATGGTCATATCTAAAAAGAGACAAAATGATTCTATAAAAAATTAATTCTTAAAGTAATTCTTACTTTTCAAAGCCATAAAAATGAGCTTCTGCCTCAGGAAAACCACCTATATTTTTCCATTCCCTTAAGGTTGTATTTCTTAAATTAAGATGCCTTATTTTAGGCCAGGAGTCAGCAAAACTACTCACAACCTGTTTTCTAAAGTTTGAATACAACCAAGCCCATTTATTTATAAACTGTCCAAGGCTGCTTGTTAGTGATTGTGAAAGATCATTTGAATCACAGATCCTAAAATATATAGTAATATGACCCATCACAGGAAAAGTTTGCTGACCTCTATCTACAGCAGTATTATCACTGGGGTTCTATTAAAAAACAAATAAAGATATACCTTGAATGGCAATTTACTGACAGATATGCCAGAATAGTACAGAGGAAACCTAACAAAAATTTCCAAGTCCCAGGGCAATCCCAGGGCAGTCACCTAGATGTGCTTCATTCCCCTAGCAAGACGCTATGACAACACATGTGGAATATTGAGAAGCAGAGAAACTCACTAAAGACTCAGTGACCAGTTAAGCTGGTCACACAAACACCCTCTGCATAGCAAGACCCAAATTTCCAGAATCTCAAAAGGAAAATAGGTGCTCATGCTAAACCACATTTTCTTTAAAAAACTTCAGGCACAGCTAGCCACTCTCACCACTTAGGAGAATGGGAACATTTCCAAAATCTAAGTTTCCAAACCAAGGCCTAAACTTACAAAAAGGGCTTGTTCCTAATGATAGCATCACTACCTGCTATGTTAACTAAGACAGACTTGTCATTTGTATCAATCATCTCTTTGTGGCGCAAGGGATTAAGTTTCAACACCATGAAGCTATCTGCAACCACTGCAGCATGAGTTGGATCCCCAGCCAGGAAGGTGACCCACATGGCACAGCAGACCTCCGTCTCGCCCGCTGCTCCCCTCAGCAGTGTATTTCAGTAGTTCTGCCTGTTCTGCTCTCCACTCTGTCTCTGGTGAATCCTCTCACCCACCCCACCCCCTGTAACTCTGGCCTGCATCCCAGCTCTCGTATGCATAAATAAATAAATCTTTAAAAAAAATAAATAAAAGTATCATGAGAAAAAAAGATAAACTTACCACATCTACCAAATTCATAGCTGTCTGAAGCAGGTAGCACTGAGCTGCCCCTCGCAGTAGAATCTGATGTGTAGTCATAGTGCATTGAAGAACATCCCTGCATCAAAAAACAAAATGCTCACTTCCATGTCCCAGAGACAATTCTCACAACCTGTTGATATTGGTAAGTGGACGTACATGATCTATCATTTCTAATGTGGAAAGTCACTGTCAGAATTTCAAAGTTAGTATTTTCCATTAAGGCCTCTAATACTATTAGGCTCAATTTTAATATGAAACAAATCTCAAAAATAAAGACTATGAATGAACATAATTTTAAAGTAAAAATTTTACTTTCTGAAATATTTTTTATTAAATGTTACTGTTTGGTATCTATAGTTTCCTACATATTAATGTAAAAAAGAAAGCTTAGTGGCCTTATTTTAAAGTGGTCACAATATAACAGTATTTCTTGTGGCACAAATTTAAACAAAAAATTCATAAAGGAGTACAAGTTGAACTATATGAATAATACATTTTTTAATTCACTTTTTCTTATATAAAATTAAGAGCTCAAAAACACCAATGCTAATACTAACATTCACTGTAGAGTAAAGCAGAGGAGAAAACAAAATTTACTGATGGAGAGTGATAACAAATAACTGCATGTGAATATCACATAATAAATTACCTGAGAGCAAGAAGTCCTTCTAGACTCAGGGCTTTACATCTTGGGACATTTGCCAAAGCCTTAGATATAAACAAAATGGGAATAGCACACCAATGTCTACTTGTCATCTTTTGAATAAACTTTAATAGGAAACTACCTGAAAGAAAAAAAAAATTAAAGATCATTGAGGCCAATACACACATAAAAAGCTAATCAACATGATTAGCCATTAAAGAGGGAAATACAAATCAAAAACCATAATGAGATATAACCCCATACCCACCAGAATGGCTATAGTCAAAAGGACAGACAATAATAAGCATCAGCAAGGGTATCAAGAAATCAGAGTTCTGCCCTTTGCTGATAGAAATGTAAAATGATGCAGCCAGTGTGGGAAACAGCTTGAAAGCTCAACTAAAAGTTAAACATAAACCCCACAATTCCACGCCTAGGTTCAAGAGAACTGGAAGCATATGTTCACACAAAAACTTGTATATTCATACTCAAAATAGCATTATTCATAACAGCCAAAACTGAAAACAAATTAAATGTCTACCAACTGATGATTATGAAATACAGTGGAAAATTATGCAGTCAAGAAAAATGAAATACTGATACATGTTAAAACCTAGATGAATCTTAAAAACATGCCAAGTGAAACAAGCCAGATATAAAAGGACACATAACATATGGTTTCATTTATATGTCTAGAACAGGCAAATGTAGAGAGACAGAAATAGTAGTGATTGATAGGAGTTACGGGGAAGAGAGAATAAGTAGTGGTCGTTAGTGTGCATGAAGTTTTATCTTAGAGGTAATTAAAAATATTCTGGAATTTATGGTGATGGTATAGGGTATATGGTGTGAATATACTAAAAACTATTGAACACTTTAAAAGGGTGAATTTTATGATGGGAATTATTTCTCAATAAAGCTGTTTAAAAAAGTAAATGCTGTTGGGCCTCCCCTGGTGGCACAGCGGTTGAGCACTGGGCTGTGAAGCTGACCGCAGCCTCTGCAGCACCGGTTAGATCCCCAGCCACCAGCAAGGGTCCCACGTGGTGCGACAGACCTCTCCTGCCATGCCCGCTGCTCCCTTCAGCAGTGTATTTCATCAGTCTGCCTGTTCTGTTCCCCACTCTGGCTCTGGTGAATTCTCTCCCCCTCCCTTGCTTCTAACTGTACCCAGTGCTTGTATAAATAAATCTTAAAAAAAAAAAAAAAAGTAAATGCTGTTTCAATTTCATTCCTACTTAGTAAGTATTCTACTATACTATAAAAGTCTGATAACCATGTACTATATATTTTTTTAAAAAAGTTAAGGTACATGTAAGTTTTTAACTGTTAGAAGCCATACTTGTGTTGGAGATGTTAACATTAGCTCCTTCTTACCTCATCTGGTTCTAACCATAATATTTTTCTATTTGAGATACAAAGGAATGGTGTTCTATTCTGCCTTCTCTGCTAAAGGGATTTCTTAAGGGTCCCCCACCCCAAGGCATTCAGTTAGTGAAAATGTCTGCTGGGTTCTCAGTTCATCGCTGTAGGATGACCTTTAAGAAATTCTTGGATGCACCTGAAAGGATAATACATATACTTTATATCTTCAAAAACACCTAGCACAAAGACACTTAAGATATTCACTGGAAATTGACTGAAATACTGAAAAGAACTACCAACAAGGAAACTGTGAGTAAACATTTTACAAGCGTCTTTTCTGTTGGACTAATTAAGCTCCCTGTCTTTTCCCAAACACCTCACTCATAACACAAGAAGGATGGCAACAGCCAAGTTCTGTTTCACATTCACTCAACACAATTTCAAGTGTCTACTAATCCCCTGGCCCTGAACCACAAACACCAGGCACTCGGACTCTAGGGGGCGCAAACCACTTATCCTCTCACTCGCAGAGTACTAATGAGGGACAGGCCAACATGGACAGCAATCCCATACTGCTTAAATTCTAAATTCTAGCAAACTAAAGAATTGTTCTAACAGTTCAGTTATCTTCCCCATTAGCTAATTTTTAAAGTAATCCAAAAAATTTTCTATAAATATAAAGCTGTGATACAGACCATCTTTTCCTTTTCTTTCCTGACTTTAACATAGGTAAGTGGCCATCGGTTATTGTCTTACCCTACCTACAGATTAAAGACAAAAGAAAAAACGTTTACTTCAAACCCACAGTCATTTTATAAGAGACAAAGTCAGAAATGAAAACGTCAGAAAGAAGAGTAACTCCTCCTGCCGCTCAGAAAACAAAATAGTACTGGTTTTGTGCTTTGCTAATCGAATTATCAGAAATAAACAATAAATCAGCAATCAGATACAAAGTGTTTCTAGGACAAAAAGTGTTATATAAAGCAAGCATATTTTTCTTTCTTCTCTTTCTACGTCACTATGTGTGAAGGGACAACTTTGCTATGATGGATAGTGTTTTCAACTTTTCCCTAAACCCAATTTATCTGTCTCTTGAGCCTATTTTACTATTTTTAAAATTGAGTAGAGGTTAGAAAATACAGCAAACTGCAGCACACTTTCTAAACTTACTTCCATGTTATTCCTGCCAATACTGGTAACATTACATATACAAAGCAAAGGTGAGTAGTCAAATACAATTGACAGCTGTGTCATTCTGACAAAATATGAATATTATGGAAAAGAGAAATTAATTTGATAATACTAACTATAATAATATTCACAGAATGGTTCTTACAATCAACATACTAAAAAAAAAATTTTACGAGTAAATTTTTTAAGCCTCTCTATTGATACGTACTCTTTATTTCTTCTGGAAGAAGAGCAATATAAGTGACTAAAAACTTCTGTAATTTTGATCCCAATGGAGAACCACTTCCTATCAGCTGACCTGGGAACCTGTAGACAAAGAGGGGGGAAAAAAAACAACATTTAAAATTTATTAACAATATGTGCACTCAAACATAGTGGACTGTGATTTAAAAAAAAAAATATTTCAACAATAAAACAATCAGACTATCTTCTTTTTCTGAACCTGCATTTTATTTTTCAAGATAAAATAAAATAAATTTTGAGGATTCTACCAACTACAAAAACATCAGGATCTCCTAGGAAAACAGAGATGAGTTAGTAATATACTATACTCAGCGGGCATGGATTTCCTTTTTATACTTCCCCTGACACTTATATAGATAAGTCTTGTAAATACTATCAACTTTTTTTTAAATCTAAAATGATGATCTCTAAATTACATTGTTTCCAACATATAACTTCATCTTTAAGTATTAAATAAAGGGATTAACATTCATAGAAAGACATATATTAGTAAAAAATTACTTCTGCAAGAGCATTCACTTATTAATAACTACTAAAGTCATTTATTTTTCTGCTACATGCTTCCACCAGGATCATTATCTGTCAATTGAACACATCAAAGTACAAGAAAACTGAAGGTATTCCATAAAAATGTGTCAGCTATTTAGAAAGCACCAAGTAGGTTTTACTGCTCTCTGGCTGTCTAATCACTTCAGAAAACTATTCAATAGTAATGAGTTATAAAACTAAAAATAAATGACAAATCAAGCAATGCTATGTTCTTTTATATTTATTAGTTAGAACTAAGTATTAATATTTCTTAGTACAGATTAAGTCAAAAAATAAAGTTTAATTGGTGATGGGAGGTTGCTTTTCAGTTTAGAGGTATGCCAAACAAAAGGTCTGCAAGTGTGATTTGCAGAGAACAATTTTTGAAGATATAATTCAAGAGTGAGGCTAAGGCACAAAATTGACATATTCTCAGCTGTCAACCTTTTCATGGGGTAAAGGTGACAAATAAGTTATATATTCTGGACAATGGCAGACACTGTGATATCAGATTGGAAATGGATGTATTGTATGAATTCATGGTTTTTAATATGAATAAACGGATGGAGGACATACACTGAAAAGGATGAGTAAGTCAGCTCAGTAGACAGAGGTGAGAAATAGATGTATACGCAGACATGGAAGTCTGTCTCTTCAGACAATGAAGAAGCAAATGTGGAGAATGTGAATAAAAGTTAATGGAAATTCTTTGTATTATTCTTACAACTATCAGTAAAAATTAAACATTTAAAGTGTTGGTTAGCAAAGTCACTATAATTTTCAAGAGGGCAGAGACATCAGGAATAAAAGAAAGTAAGCTATATAAAATAGATAGATAGATGTACATATAGGTATATATCTATATAAATACACTTTCCAGAAACCCAAGAATGAAAGGCCTCAAGATAAGAAAGAAAACAAGGGAAAAAAAGAGAAAGAAGGATCAGCCGATAGAATGAATAGAAAAAAAGGCAAGAAGAATAACAATATACATAAGAAACGACAAGATAAGAAAAGCTGATTGTCTACTAAGCAACATATATTACACACCAAATACATTAAACAATTTGGTCACATTTCATAGATATATTAAATACCTATATCAAATACATATAACTACATTGCTACTAAATAGCATAATACTTGTTTACCTGCTATATAGAGAGCTTTCTGAAAGTGCATCCATTAATGGTCCAATAATAAACTAAAAAAAATAAAACAAAAATAATGTAATTGACGTTAAGTTGTATCTGCAATTTTGGAAAATCAACACGCTCCAATTGAACATCCAACACAGGACTGCAGAAGAGCTGTTGTAAGTAAAGCTGATCTCTTATACTGAAGGTTAATTTAGAGATAACATAGAACCACCAGAATTTTCCCACCTGAAAAAAACTTAAGGGATACTAGAAGAGAGTTCATATAGGTTGAAAAAAAAGGAATCCAAAAGGAACACATGGTCAAAAATGGCAATTACAAAAGAAAAAAGATAGTTAAGAGAAAATTTCAGGCTCTGTGCCTGGAAAATAAGTGGGAGAGGAATTATATCTTCAAAAGTATTACCAGCTTTAGTCAAAAAAGCAAATTACAGGAAGGATAGGAGACTGTAGTAAAAATTATGCATAACAAAACACTACAGTGTAGTGTCAGACAATAAAGTTTACTTAGGTTACCCCTACAGGAGAGGAAAATGACTATTTTACTTAAGTAAATGGTCATGTGACTCATTTGGTACTATTACATAAAACTTGAAATCAGTTATAATTCTCAGTGATTTCTGAAAAATCAAAGTAGACGCTAATAAATACAGCTCAAAAAGCAATCTTTACTTAATAGAGTAAATAACAATAATTCATTACTATACAGAGTGATTCAAACTCAGTAATTTAAAACAGTGGAAACAGCTTCATTAGCAAGTTTCCATAACCACAGTTTCATACTCTTGACTATATTGCTTAGAATACTGATACCAAATGGCATTATCATGTAGGCAACTTGTTGGCATACCAGATTACAGTAAGCTTTTCCAGACATGACACATAGATTTAGAGAAAGAGGAATTGTGTGCAAATCTATAATATTATTTGGTATTCCAAGTCCTAGTTTATCTTTTTGAAAGTGATGTATACAACAAATGCCTTTACAGCTCATCTTTTGAGAAAGGGAGCAAGGGAAAGGAGACCTCCTTAACCTTACCTCAGAAAACTCTGATGAAAATGGAAGAACCTTTACTTCATACAGCTCCAAAAAATGGATTACACCTTCTTTGGTCAGGATTTTATTTTCACTTTCAAACATTCTTTTATAAATACACATATGCCAGGATGGGTGAAACAGCCAACATCCTGTGGAAATAAACATTTAATGTTGGTATGTGAGTCTCACATTATGTTGTTCCATGTAGACTAACTGCACACCTATATAAACTAAACACTTACACAAAAAAAACATTAATCACATACGAGGGTATCTAATTACTGAATAACAAGAATCACTCTGATATTCCATATTCAGAGAGCTTCATTTAGCCAATGCCATAGCTGCTATAGTGTACAAAATTAAATATTTACTCCATGCACATGGTCTGGAACTTTATATTTGGCGATGATTTCAACAATTCTTCTCTCACTCTATTTCACTTCATTTTTTACAGAGAAATCTGAAACTGTCACTCCTCTGCTTAAAACTCTAGAGTGGGTTCTCATAGCTCTTAAAAAATATCTGAAGAAGGTATGAATTGGCTCTGACAACTCCTCCAACCCCGCCTCATGCCCCACACCCACGGCACAGCACCGCATTGTTCTCTGGTCCTCTATTCACCGAGTCTCCCCATTACAGACTTTTACACACAGTATAAAAGCTGTCTCCTCAGCCCTGAGCTTCGATGTCATTCCTAAGGCAGGCCTTCCCTGACTACCCTCGAAGGTACCATCCCACCTACGCACACTCCATTCCACCCCTTTGTTCCCTTCGTAAAACTTACAAACAAAACAACTTTTTCATAAAAAAACACACAAATATCAAGTGAAAAATAATATTTATCCACTGTGTTTAACATGTATTGGATACTAAGTAAATACCAATTAAGTAAATATATCAGTGAGAAAACCCAAAAAAAGGGAAAAATATGTACCTACGAGAGTTTTTAACTCTTTTGAATTATCCTTTAATTTTATCAGAAAAAAAAAAAACAGCATTTTTATTTGCATGGCATTCTATAAATAAATTGGTCCATTATTTGTAATTTATGCCAACATGCTTATTCAAATCTTCAGCAATGGTAATTTTTCAAAATCTGTCACTGTTATTTTCATTTGGTTTGCCAAGAGCTGTGGGCAAAAGTGGTGATAAGAGAATCATTTTAATAGCAAAAGCATGAGTGAAGTCACAACAGGATTCAATTACATTCTTGCCCCAGGTGGGACTATAGATTCTCATGGTCTGTGAAAAATCCCAGTGTATTAGAAAACAACTACAGCAATCAGCTGAATAAAGCTCTACTCCTAAGGGGTCAAACTATTAAAGTTGTAATTATCTAGAGTAGGCACTAAAACCCATTTACCTAGGTTAATTCTCATGTGTAAACATGAAAATGTAGCATTTTATCATTTTTATGAATACAAAACACTGTTAGCCTATGGCTAGTGTGTGTTCACTTATCAAAACTTAATTTCATAATGTTAGAAAGGTCCAGTTTCATTTTATTTCTCCTAAAAAGTTCTCAGACCACAGAACTGATGAAGGGCTTAAAAATCTATATTTAAAATTTTCTTGGAATTTTCTCTTCCTGCAAAGTCTAAGACACAGAACAATAATGAAAGCTTCCCAACGTAACAAACAACAAAACAGATATAGAGAAGAACAGAAAGCAGTTAAAATACTTATTCACATCAAAGTTATTATTTAAAATGTTAAATATCGAATATACCATCATTAAAGACAACCAAAGAGCCCTTACCTTTCAAGAATATATACAAAAATAATTATAGGTGAAATGCTGTCTGTCTAGGGAATTGCTACAAAATCACTACATAATCAAAAGCAGTGAGGATGAGGCCGCAATATATAAAAGGAATAGGCTGGCCACGAGCTGATTGAGCACTGCTGAGGTTGTATGATGTGGTCAAACTCTCTCCTACAAATGTTTAAAATTCTCCATAATCAGAAAATTAGAAAATTAACCATACCTCCTACAGAAAACTTTGCAGTCATTTGAAAGTATGTCCTCAAAGACTACTTAAGGTTACACAAGTAAATGCATTTGGATAGATGAGAAAACATATGAACAATCAATCCAGGAGTGCAGTATCTGGAATATTAATAGCTGCTCACTTGGTGGCAGCATATCCCTATTTTCTTCTTTATATCTTAATAGTTTTTCCAATTTCTCTACGATAAACAAGTTAGCTGTAAATTGGGGGAACTATAAATGACATAAAAAGACAAAAGTAATCATTACCATTTTCCTCTGACACTGCATATTCAAATAGATTGTTTAGCTTTGGTAAAACTGGCTTTATAACATGTATCTGAAAACAAGAGCAGAAAACCAAATGAAATGAATTCACTTTTAGACATGTAAGAAAATTTTCATCAATTTATGTAATAATAGCCATTCTGATTTTTCGCCCATGTAAAAATTGTGGAGAAGGTGACTGATTCTTTATTTTAATCATACAAATCCACATATGTAAGACTGAGTTTGTCAAAGCAAATTAATATAACCTAGAATACTCACAGTAATGTTATATAGTGACTATGACAAATTATGTCATGCAAGCCTCAACTCTCCTGGGAAATAGGCAGGGCTAATAATACCAACGAATACATTTCAAAGAGGGAAAAAATACTGAAATACTTTCTCTAATGACTCAAGTTGTTCAAGGCTATACATTCAGAAGTAAAGCCAGTTCAGAATTCAATGTTCTTCATACTACCTAGATTATACTGGAGATATTTCTGCAACAGAATCTAATTTATATATCCTTCAAAGTAAAGCTAAATCAGTTTCTGAATAAATAGTAGGGGTCTTATGGATCTGGTTAAGAAAAACCACGAAAGTTTATTTCAATTTAATAATGCTTTCTCTTTATTCCTCATTTAAATCTATATATGCTTAGTATATATGAGAAATTATTTCAGTCCACAAACATTGCTTGGTGCATATTTGAACTGACACCTCATAAAGACTCCACTCATAAAACCTTCTCAAGATGGCCAGCACATGGGTACTCTACAGCTTAAGACTAGGAGCCCCTATACCAGGGACTCTCCAAGTGTGGTCCCCAGAACGGCAGAATAAGCATCACCTGGGGACTTGTAAAATATTCAAATTTTCAGGCCCCATCCCAGGTCTACTAAATTCAGAAACTCTGGGGACTTGACCCAGCAATATATACTTTAAATAAGTGCTCTGAGTGATTCTAAGAAACATTAAAGTTTGAGAATTACTGCACTAGATTAAGTAATCTTAGGAGAGTCCTGTCAACTTAAACATTCCAAGACTCCATGAAAACTAATTCCAAGTGAACTGAAAATGGTATTTCAAGTTTCTATTCTCAGAACCATGTCTGCACAGATGTAAATGAAAAAAAGAAAGCCTACAAAATTAAAGGGCAATTATTTACTTAACCACATCCTCAGAATTTCTTTCAGTAAAATTTTCCAAGGGGTGTATTTATTCAAAACAAGGCTACACTTTTAGAAGTACATTATTTAAAACATGAAGAAACTAAAAACTAATACTTTGGAAGTAAATGTCAAGGAAATAAGTCTAAATTATTTTAATGATAGTTAAAGTCAAATGGAAGTTGAATTTAAAGCTGGAATTTTAATGATTAATGCAAAGCACTCCTTACTTCCAAAAGTGTAACTGGAATGAGAGTTTCTGGAAGTAAGAGGGGTGGAGAGTGAGAGGGTGACTTGCAGGCAGAGACATAACAACTTGCTTTCATCAATGGTAAGATTTCAAGAGCATGCCACTTTAACAAAAGTTTAATTGAGCACCTAGTTTCCAGCCCTGAGGAAACTGTCCCAAATGTTACAGGAACTCCAAGGAAATAAAAGCAATGTCCATCTTCAAAACATTTAAGAAATCTGAGGTGACCTAGTGTCACGACCATTAGAGATGGGAATAGAGGTTCAGCGGACACCAGAAATCAGATCTCAAATTCGTGGTGTGGTTTCCTTCCCCTTTTTCTGGACAGAGTTTTTTACATTCAGTCTTAAATTGCATTTAATCCAGAAAACAAAGTATCCTTGAACAGCATGGTTTTCAACTCCCCAGGTCCACTTACATGTGGACTTTTTTTCTAACTGGAGGTTTGCATTGAGATTCAACCAACTTCAATGTTCGTGACTCTGCTATATGGAACCATAATAACAAGTTCCAATTTTCGACCCAGTCGGAATGGGTTGAATGTCATGGATGGGTTGAATGTTATCATACTATACTCAAGTTGGCCATTTTGAATTGCTTTTACAGAATGTTTGGAAAAAATGAGGACTGCATCTATGCAGGATTGGTTAAACTATGAAAAAACTTACCTGATTTCCTTCTAGAGTTTCCATAATTAAAATATAATTTTCCCAAAACTTTAGCAGCTCATCTTTTTTCTTCTCAGACCACCAAAACAGACTTGGGCCTGAAATGATTTTAAAAAGACAATTAGTTCCTCCTTTTGAAATGTCTTAAGTTTCTCTAGGTATAAATGTTTACCCTGGTCTTTACTGAAAAAGAGTAACCCCACTGCTAACAGACAAAACAGAAAACAAAATCAAAATTAGAGACGGTCCAGGTAAAAGACCATGTACACACCAATGAGTAGTATATTAAAGGATCTAGTGGAAAAGGTAAACAACTTGCATGAAGAGAAGGGGATTTTTGGGAAATGGAAACTATTAAAAAAAATTTAAGCAGAGAAGGATAGAAATAAAAACATACCAAACATAAAGGATCCTTTGATGGAATTATCAGACACAAAAGGTCATAATTTTTTTTAACCTCAGTAAACTATTGGTAAATGAACTACAAAGTGAGTAAACCAAAAAAGAAGACAAAAACTCCAGGAAAGGGTTCCAACACAGTACTCAGGCAAAGGGAATCCCTAGGATAATGGTTAAGGCACAGCCAAGATATGTCAGCAGTGCACCAAGCTAAGCATTTGGGAGGTCTCTAGAAGAGACTGCAAGAAATTGTAAGGTATCTTATGATCTGATTTTGTACAGGAAAGATTTAAACAACTGGCTAGAAATTTGAGATTGAATTAGTGAAAAGTAAAGAGAACTGAGTAACTGTTAAAATAATTCTAGGAAAATTTGCAGGAAGGAAAAAAATCATATTTACTACACTGTCACCAGTAAATAGTTCTCACTCATAATTTTATAAACACTGAATTCACATTTAACCAAAGTTATAACATGGATTTCATGATGCAACTAAAGTATTTTAAGACATAGGGATAAGTTATCCAATGATCAGTTAAGAAGTAAAAGTGGTTGCTTTTGGAAATGGGAGGAAATGAGAAAAAGGGTCAAGCAGGGAAAACTTGCTTATCTTTAAAAGTGCAGAATGACTGACTCTAAAATAAGTGTTTAACTGTATTAATTTTTTTTGGATGTTTTCCAATGAAAAGTCTCATTGGATGATGACCCATTAGTGGACTGTTAAAATATGTACTATCTAAAAGTTTAAATTTAGGGCCTTCCTGGTGGCGCAAGTGGTTAAGCACCACACTATGAAGCAATCCGCAGCCTCTGCAGCACCAGTTCAATCCCCACCCAGCCAGGGAGCAACCCACAGGGTGAAGCAGACCTCTCCTGTCTCACCTGCTGCTCCCCTCAGCAGTGTATTTCAGTCTGCCTGTTCTGCTCCCCACTCTGTCTTTCGTGAATCCTCCACATCTCTAGCCTGCACCCCAGCTCTTGTATGCATAAATAAATCTTTTAAAAAATAATAAAAAATAAAAGTTTAAATTTAAATGAAAATCTAACCAACTCACAACTTCAGCTAACCAAAAATACTTTACTAATAATAAATGAACAGGCAGCCACAGTTAAAAAGTTCTCTATCTCTTGTCACAATTTTGAATGAATCTATTTTGGACTTTGATAACTCAAAAACGAATTTAAGATGACTTAAGTATACTTTCACACATTTCAGTGAACAAACCCATCAATAACAACATACCAAATTGAAGTGAATTCTTATTTCACTTCCCCTTGTTCTGTAATAAAGCCTACTTTATGCAGTCAGAATATAAAATAAAGGTAAGGAATTTAGAATCTGACTTATTTCCACCAATGCAAAAATACCTTCAAAATGTCGACTTAAGGACCATACGTTTAACAAGTATTAACTCCCAGTGCTGGGAGGACCCCCCAAGGGAAAATTCAAAAGCATGTGAAGGTTTCTACGACAGAATTCGAGTAACCAAGACTCAGCTGATGGCTCACCACTCAATATTTTTTTCTTTCAATTTGAAGAAAGCTAACCCTTCTTTACTACTAAGACAGAGCTACCACTATGCATTGCCCATCTGTTAACTGCATGAGCCCAGGCATGTTCTAGATGAATTTACACCCTGCTGTGGGTCAGAAAGGTTGGGGTCTGCAGTGCTCTCCACTGTAGTGATTTGTGTCACTAACACCTCCAGATGAGTTTCCCAAAGTGATCGGGTTTTAACAGGGTCCGTGGGAATAACCAAATTCCGCATAGAGGTCAGAGCAGACCTCCAAGGGCTGGTGTTTGGAAGCTGGCGAGGCCTCCCTCCCAGAAAGTCAAGTCGAGTTGGGGCTGGGGAGCAAAGACGCTCGTACCGTTTCCTTCCAGGGGGCCGCAGGTGCAGTCGGCCCCCAGCTCGGCGGACACCTCCACGGCCCTCTGCAGCAGGTAGCGCGCGCGCTTCCGCGTCAGCGCGTCCTGGGCCTGGGCCAGCCCCGCCTGCACGGTCCTCCAGAACCTCCAGCAGCGCCGCGCGTCGGGGCCCGCCTCGCGCGCGCCGGGGGCGCAGTCCACGCCGGGCTCGGGCAGCAGCATCTCGGCCAGCGTGCTCAGGACCTGCAGCTTCGGGCCGACGCGGCCCGGCCCCGCGGCCGGCTCGGGCGCCACCAGCCCGCCCCACACGGCCCGCAGCGCCGCCCCGCTGCACTGGCCCAGCGCGGGCAGCAGGCGCCCGGCCACCAGCGCGGCCGCCTCCTCGGCGGGCCCGGCCTCAGGTCCGCCCAGTGCCAGGGCGAGGGCGACCTGCGCCACCCGCTCCAGCAGCGGCCCGTCCTCGCGGGGCCGCAGGCAGGGTCCGACGGCCGCCAGCACCTCCACGGCCGCCTCGGCGCCCGCCGCCCGCGTGGGGGCCCCGTCGAGGCCCGGGGCCGGCCACCCGGCGAGCAGGTCGCGCAGCGCCTCCTCCGCGAGGGCGGCCGCCAGCGGCGGGCCCCCGGCGAGGCGGGCGCACGAGCGCAGGGCGGCGCCCGCGGCCCTCAGCACGCGCCGGCCGGAGTCCACAGCGCCCGCCGGGCGGCCCCGCAGGCCCCGCAGCAGCGGCACCAGGTACCCGGCAGCGACCTCGCGCGCCGCCTCCGAGAGCGCGCCCGCGCCACCGCCGCGCGCCGCCTCGTCTTCGAGCCGCTGCAGAAGGAAGCGCAGGGTCTCCACGCGCTCCACCGACGCCTCCCCGCGGCACAGCGTCCCAAGCAGGAGCCTGGGGTCCCGGAGCTGCGAGAGCAGCGCTTCGGCGAGCACCCACTCCATTTGCGCGCGCGCGCCGCCGGCACCGGGCGCGCAGGGAAGCGCCGGCCGGGGCGTGTGCGTGCGCGTGCCCGGCTGGGTGGGCGCGCGCCCGCACGGAGGGGTCGAGGAGCCGGAGCCGTGCTCTGCCCAGCTCAGAGAGCCTCTGTTTGGCTGCCTCAGCGCTGCCTGGGTGCTGACCCCTCTTGCCCCTGTCCTTATGTTGTAGAGCAACCCCGATACAAAACGGGGTGCCCGACTGTGGGTCCTCACCCGCGCGCTTAAAAGGACTTATCAATGCTCTACTGCAGGCACACACGAAAGGTTAATAAAAGGTTTATTTACAAGGGAAGGGGAAATGAGGAAATGTACAGCTCTGGGAGAAAAGTGGGAGACAAAGTTTTAAATGAGTCCTACCCGATCCGCTGATCAGGAATCCCAAAATGGCACTCTGAGAGCTGGCTGCGAGCCAGGAGCCGTGAAGCAGGGAGGTGAGCGATAGTGAGCCCCCCCAAGGCCCATGTGTTTGGTTTTTATATCCAACCTGGCTGCCCAACTCAACCCTCAGGTCCCAGCCACCCTCCCTTTGGTGGTGACGGGATTTGTTTTTCCCAATGTCTTGATGGCTTTAGTCTGGAGTGGGGGTGGGGTCCACAAAGCCTGTATGGGATTAGCTCAAGACATCATTTCCCCCTAACACTTACTGTTCTCCAGAGGAAGCTTCAAACGTTCATGTAGCATGCACACTCACTGCGTCGATGGCTACTTGCAGATTGGATGCCCAAGTAGGGAAGTCCCCTACTCTGCCCTCTGTCCCAGCTACAGGGGACTATATGTTCCCACAACATGTCTGCACTAGTGGTTTTTGTCTCCCTGGATATTTTCTGCAACCACCACTTTCCTGGCTCACCAAGGTGGGCAGTGTTCTCCCAACTGCAAAGGTGTCCTTTTTTTGTCCTTATTAACTGGTGAGCATTGGATCCAGGGACACAGGGGAGGTTTACATCACAATTACCCAGAAAAGGTACAGGCTGGCACCACCCATAAAGAAAATGACACAGTGGATCTAAGATGGATTTTGCACACCTATATCAAAAGTAAATAACGAAAACCTAAGGGATTTAAAGGCCCTGAAAAGTACTATTGCTCTTTGGTAGGCATAGAGCTGGAAAGATACCTACCCTTCTGCGCCTCACCTTCCCACACCGACGCTGTACTCTGGCATACCATGTTAGTGCCCCCACAAGCATCTCAAAAGTAGCCCACGTGACTGTATTTTCTGTATTTCTGACAGCACTGCTTCTAAAGACAGAAACAAATCTTCACGAGAGCCATCACTTTATTGGTTGCTTCCTGCCTCAGTCCCAGGCAAAATGGAGTAAGTGATGTGGGTTTTCTTTGCCATCTAACAGAGAAGATCTCTCCCTCCATGAACAGGGAGAACATGGTCCTACCTGTGATAATCATGAATAAGGTATAATTTAAAGTTATTTAAGGTTATTTATAAAACCCATTTAATTTTTATATTTTGGGGTTTATAGAATTTAAAGTTTTGCAGCATCATATATACAAGATTTTCCCGCATATTTCAGTCATTCATTTTTCCATGGACAGAATACATAATTAGTAAATATCATTTCCCCTCACCAAATGATGTCTTAGTCAATATTAGTATCCCTCATATATTAACAAAAATGGCAGAGACAATTGAAGATATGTAAATTTCAGCATCTGAAAGGTGTTCACTATCATTAGTGATTAGATACCACTTCACACCTATTAGAATGGCTAAAATTAAAAAGATTGAAAACACCAAATAGCAAGGACCAAGGATGTGGAACAGTTGAAACACCCATACATTATTGATGAGTGTATAATGGTACAATCACTGTGGAAAACTCTTTCTAATAAAGTTAAAATATATCAATTCTATGCCTGGACATTTTCCTAAATCAAAGGAAGACTTCCAACAAAAATGCTTGTTTAAGAATGTTTTTGGCAACATGAGTCATTGTAGGGTAAGGTAAAAAGGATCAGGCTTTTCTGCCCTCCTGCCGTTAGGATAGATGAGGGAACCCTGTGGTCCTGAATGCATGCCTGATGGCGGCACCTGAAGTGGGTACACCTGGGCTGAGAGACTGAGTTTTATAAGGGTGGCGTCCCGCGGATACCAGCAGAAGGCGAGAACGAACGGAAGCAGAAGAAGAGAAGCAGAGAGAACGCCAGAGAGCCCAGATAGAGTGAAGAAATGCTGGAGGTTGGGAGGACTGCCAGCCTCCCGGCCCCCCAGCACCCCTGCTTGCCATATGCCTGGTAAATCTAAATAAAAGACCTGTAAAAACCACTGAGGACACTTGATTCCTCCTTTACCCAGTCTACTGGATCAGATAAACCTTCTCAGTGTCCTTCCTGCCCATACACCTACTCTGCTCTGTGTCCCAGCTACAGGGGACTCTGTTCCCACAACATGTCTGCACTAGTGATTTTTCTCTGCCTGGATGTTTTCTACAACCACCACTTTCCTGGCACACCCAGGTGGGCAGTGTTCTCCCAACTGCAAAGGTGTCCTTCTTTTGTCCTTATTAACTTGTCTCTATTGAGGCTCTCATCTTCTTGAAATACCATTTTCCTCTTTTTTTATCATGTAGCTTCTAACTCTTTTCTTTTTCCTTACTTCCCCAGCTGCTGCTTCTCCATCTCTTTTTCACTTCTTCCTGATCTGTTCATATCAATGACTTCAGAGTTATGGCTCTAGATCTCAGTTCTTCTAGCATTATAAATGTCCCCTGAATAACTTTAAGAAGCTATAGATTTGACTGTAATTTACATGTTAGTGATGGGAAAAAATCTGTATCCTGTCCATATCTCTTTTCTGAGCTCCAGATCTATCTATCCAGTCACCTACTAGAAGTATCCATTTGAATATCACATTACTGGATCATTCTGTCTCTACTTTTATAACTCTAACCTCATGATCTTCATGTCCCCATCTCTTCCCCCATCATCGTTACTCCCCATCAATGAAACTTCTTCCCAGGTATTTCCTACATAGAAGAATGGCCCAATTGAAGCATCTGAGAGCCAATAGACTCTCCACTCTCTTCTTTGATACAATCACTCTTCAAGTCTACACATGAAACTTTCCAAATCTCTTAGCATGCCCTCTTCTCTGCCCCTCACCAAAAAACTTAGTTTTAGCCCCTCCTTATTTCTTACTAAAAGAACCTCAGTCACCTCCAACCTGATTCACACTCCAATATATACTCCATATTTCTGCCAGGATGATCTTCCTAAAGTTAAACCATAGCCCTCAGAATAATGTTTGAAATTCTTAGCATGACCTCCAAAATTCCTCATGAGGTGGCCCTTGTTGTACTTCTCCAGCTTTCTCCTCCTCATGCTCTAAATACACCTCAATTTTGAAATCCCTAAAACCTGCCATGTGTTTTTACTTTGTCTTTTTAAAAGCCCTTTCTTCTGGGAAACCCTTACCCTCTACTCCACCTGACTATTGTAAGACACAGTTCAAATTGCTCTCCAAATAGGGCCTCCCTGGTGGCGCAGCGGTTGAGCGCTGGGTTGCGAAGCTGCCCGCAGCCTCTGCGGTGCCGGTTCTATCCCCAGCTGCTCCACGGCCACTGGAGGAGGGTCCCGCATGGTGCACAGACCTCCCCTGCTGCCCGCTGCTCCACCTCAGCAGTGTACTTCGGTCCTTCTGCCTGCTCTGCTCCCCGCTCTGGCTCTGGTGAATTCTCTCACCCTCCCATACCCAGTGCATAAATAAACAAATAAACAAATAAATAAAACATGCCTCTATTAAAAAAAAAAAAAAAAGCTCTCCAAATAGTTATTCCCAGCACCAACACCTGTCCCACCTAAGTTAGGGGACTGTAAGGGGCAGGACAGGGCACAAGGCAGGTTTTCTGATCCCATGCAGATCGGGTAAAGGAGGAGTCAGAGTCCTCAGTAGTTTTGCAGGTTTTTTATTTGGGGTTCACCAGGCATATGGCAGGCAGGGGTGCTGGCTGGGGGGCTGGGAGGCTGGCAGGCCTCCCAGCCCCCAGCAAGTCTTTACTCTATCTGGGCTCTCTGGTATTCTCTGCTTCTGCGTCGGCTTCTCCTTCAGGTTCTGCTGCTGCTGGCTGGGGCTGCTAGTGCTGCTGCTGGCGCTGCTGGCGTCCCCCCGTGATGCCGCCCTTAAAAGCACAGTCTTAGCTCAGCTGAATCCCATCTACCTATGCCCACACCCTATTCCAGGTGCCCACCATCAGGCATGCATTCAGGACAAGGATCCATCATCTATCCTGATGGCGGAAGGGCAGAAAAGCCTGATATTTTCTTTACCCTACAGGGACTGTATTCCAAATTCCCAGAACATTCTAGCATATCGATAACAAGAATGTATGTTGTAGGGTAAAGAAAATGTCAGGCTTTTCTGCCCTTCCACCATCAGGATAGATGATGGATCCTTGTCCTGAATGCATGCCTGATGGCGGGCACCTGGAATAGGGTGTAGGCATAGGTAGATGGGATTCAGCTGAGCTAAGACTGTGCTTTTTAAGGGCGGCGTCACGGGGGGACTCCAGAAGCAGCAGCAACAGCACCAGCTCAGCAGCTGAAGGAGAAGCCGAAGCAGAAGCAGAGAACACCAGAGAGCCCAGATAGAGTGAGGATTTGCTGGGGGCTGGGAGGCCTGCCAGCCTCCCGGCCCCCCAGCACCCCTGCCTGCCATATGCCTGGTGAACCCCAAATAAAAAACCCGCAAAACTACTGAGGACTCTGACTCCTCCTTTACCCGGTCTGCATGGGATCAGAAAACCTGCACTGTGCCCCGTGTCCGTTCCTGCCCTTACAATTGGCGTAAGTCGGCAGGATCCATGTAGATGGGTATTGGAGCCCTCCGAAGACCAGAAGGGACTAAGGAGAACAGACTGTTTGCCTGTGATGACGCTGGAGGTGCCATGGCGGCACAGAAGTTGGATACGGTCCGGAGCTGTGGGACGAGACCTCACATGGAGGAGACGCCCAA